GGGGAGCTTGAAGATGGGAGCATGTTCTTGCGGGTTGAGGTCAGGTCCAGCGAGGAGCTCGGAAGAGACCTTCATCCTTCGTCCGAGCTTCCCCTTGAAGTCTGCATGCTCGGCTTTGCATTGAAGGTGTCTGCTGGACTTGCCTGTGGATGGAAAGACTCGATTTTCTTTCGCTGCCATGCTGGGTGGTATGCTCGATAGCAAGGCTCTGGCTATGCTAAGACAGACAAGCTTGGGAGTCGGAAGAGCTGGAAGTAGTACGTAGTAAGTTGCTGACTCGGACTTTGTGCTTCGCCAGAGACTGATCGCTCAAGTTAAGTGTAAGACTAGCTGTTTCAGCAAGCGAAGACCAGAAATCCGGGAAAGCCGTTGAAACAAGCTAGACCGTCCCAGGGCTAGCAGATATGATGATATCAGCGCGCAGTTCGCCCGGTAGTTCATGCAGAAGCGCATGTCTGCCCTGCAGATATTCGATCTATGAGTGGAGTCCTTCTATGCGTCTGCATTGGTTTGTGGCTGAGTCAACCCATGGTTATGATCCATAATGGGACATGATGCGGCTGCCAGGAGCTGTATGTATAGCACTCACCACTTGAAATACATTTTGGAGCCTAGTCAAGCGTGGATTTCTTTCTCTTACAAGGTTAGAAGTTACCAGGAGCCACATGCGGCTGAAGTGACAACTTGTGTTTGAGAAACTTGAGAGTCAACTCTGGTAACATGGGCTGCCATCCGCTAGCAAGAGCTATATCGAACAGTTTGTTGTAATCCTCGAAGAAAGGCGGCTGCTTATGGCGAGAACACTGCGAAGCTCTCATTTCTCGGCGCCATGGGTTCTGGCTGCATGCCACATCGCCTTGCTGCCATGGATCGGGATGTTGGGACTCACTCATTCTTGCCATCACTTTCCAACTATGGACTCAAATTCACAGAAACACAAGGAGCTCTGCAGATTGTCACGCTTTTCGCTATGACAAGAAAGGTGCACTCGAAATATCGATCTCTCAGAAGAAAAAAAGTTGTGGATCCCGCCTGCTTTCTGGCGAATCGGTAGTTCAGAGATCTACCCGCATGAAAAGCACAATGACGGACGAGGATAGTTCTTAGAGCCTCTTTTGACATGTAACATATTCTTAAGTCGTTCTCCTGAGCCTTGTACATATTAGCCCTCCATCGCTGACTCCTCTAATGCTATATTTGCATTGTCCAATTCACGAATTCTTTGATTGACTCGACCTCGAATCTCTTCTGCGACCTGTGGACTGGAAAGCTTGAGCGATTTCTCGTAGGCATCCTTGAGCAGCTTCAGTGCTTCCCTGGCAGCCTCTCTGTCTTCCGAAGCATACACGGTCTTCTTTTCCGTCTCTTCTGCAGCCATCTCGAACTACGGCAGAGGGTAAGTCTCGCGGGATATACTCGGCAGCACGAAGGGGCAGCACACTTCATCTTTAGCGGTAGCATACCTGTGTAACGTCAGTCGAAAGGCGACGAATCAGCAAGGAAACCCACAGTTCTTGCAGGTCTTCCATCATCTCGTCCGCGGTTCGAGAAGAAGCAAAACATCTGCACGCAACGAGGGAACTGTCATGGTTCGTGGTCGGCCTGCTTGTACGAACACGGCACAATAATGGGAGCGCCAGATGTCGAAGGACCAGTCTTGGTTGTGACCTCCTCGAGACGAGATGAGCAGCTACTCTCAGAATCATGGTGTTATATTATTGTTTGGGGTCAACGATGGCTGCTGGAAATAAGCTCTCAGAGCTAAGGATATTCAAGCTCGATCGTCCATCGTAGTCTACCCGCGTGATCGGATCCGGACGATGATCTCTTCCCAGAGAGGAATATGCTGATAATCAGACGAATCAATCTTGGACTTCGTGGACTAGGATCGCTTGGTGTTGAGAAGAATCCTAATCAATAAGAGGGGGCCAATTTAGAAACGTCTTATGACTCCGTGTTGGCACTAGAAGCTGATGCGCAACGGTGCACAAACCGCAAAGCCTAAGAGACTGCGCCCCGGAGAACTCTAGCTAGCTACTACGTACTTTTCATAGATAACAATTGGGGGCTTGGACAAGGCATGAGCCCATGTAAAAGTCAGCGGGGGCCACCCCAATACAGTAGTTCACAGGATTTAGTCTAACTCGTGCCAACCACAAGGCCAGGATCAGGAACGGTGGAAGGCATCCATAGCCGGACAAGGTCTGCGCGGCCACTGGCCCATACGGCCTTTTACCACTTCCATATCTTCCCCTCCTTCCCCTCCCAACTTAGGGCCAGGCCTTACTCTACGGATCGTCGCACCTTTTCTTCTTCTAGCAATCTTATTGATTTCATGGTACTTTGTTCTTCCTAAGGCTTGAGAAGCAAGCACCTCAAAAATCAGCTCATCGGCATTGCCGCAGTGGAGATCTGACGATTCGATCTGACAGGAAGCTGACGCATCCCAAAACCTTGTTGAAAACTTACTGTGGCCGCCGTTCATTCGCCGCCCTATTTAATGTACTACGACAACATGCCGGCGAGGACGCTGAGCTCCGATGCCAGTACACTGCATTCTATCTCGCAGTCCATCTCGCAGTCTGAGCACCTGGATCCAGAGATCCGCTTGCAAATACAGAGTTCGTTGTCACCCTTCATGCGGCCCTGCGGCCTTCTCCATATATCCTGCTAATCCAGAATGGCTAGGTAATATCCATGCCATTTACGAACCCAGCGTCGCTTCTCTATACCACATCACAACATCGCGTGGCCCCGACGGAACTTACATCGCCTTCCTATCCAAGCAGGACAACGTTGCCAAAGCCCTCTTGAACCCCAGCCTCTTGGCTAGCGAGCCTAGAAGTAGCCGCAACGCCGCCATGCTAAGCCTGCTCGAGGCGACTGAACAGCGCATCCATGAAATGTTGGTCAAGAGCAACCCCATGCGAGACAACCACGGCAAGAAGAGCAGCAATACAGTGTCAACGCCAGATACGAAGGTCACTCGAACGCCCACAAGCGATGAAGTGTCGATAGATTATGGGGAAAAACCGAAGGAGAAAGGCTTCCCCTGGAAGAAGCATATACGCGTTGAGTCTGCCTACGCAAGGAAGGTCTGTAATTGATTGATTTACCAAGGAAAGGGAAATGGTCTTTGGAAACATATATCAGCGTTGGCGTTGGGAGGACTGCACCACGGATCTGCATTTTGTCTAGGAGGATGTGCTAAAAGACTGGTCGAAATGTTCTGTTTAATGTCTGTCGCTACACACTGCCATCGATTTCCCCAAATCTGCTGCAAAGTGAGCAGAACATGAAAACATTTGCGGTACTTGACCCGCACTGACACTGTGTACCGAAAGTTTCATTTTGATTCTCTCTGAAGTTTCTCGCTGACTCAAACGTCTTTCCTTCGGGCTGCATTCAGGCTTCCAGTCAGCCAAACATACCCAACCCACCACATAGCGGCCGTTTAGTGAACACCACAGCAACAGCTTGAATTTCTTATCACGTCATCTCCTCCTCGGTCAGATGATTCAATCTCGATACTAACAATCCATGCCACAATGTCAATGCTGCCGGAATCTCAGTCTCGATGCCAGGAGACTCTGTGTGCTCTCAATAGTACAGCTAGTCCACAACACCAAGAGTATGCATATGAAAATGCTACGTCAATGCCAGAAGTAGCCATCAGAATCGTCAGTGCACCCTTTCCGACCAAACGGAATGCTTCTTAAAAATGTTCCGGCACGATATGCCAGAGTCCTGAGGGCGGGAAGGAGCTGGGAGATGGGCTAGAGAATTCCTGTGTACTCAAGGATCCCCTCTCGCATGGAAACGCTTATCTTTAACCTGTTTAGACCATAAGGATATGCTTGAACGAATTGAGAGCGGCCAGAACAACGTGAGAGTAACTCCAGAAACGCAGAACAGGATTCTGGAGACAGGAACAGACTCTCCTCCACAGGAATTTAACAACGTAAGAGAAGTACGTATCGGTATAGTCACCGATGGGCGCCTATCTTATCAATCGATCCGTATGCCACGATAAGTGTCCTCATGCACGATGTGCCACAGCGAGGCCATGTGTTGACTGACAAGCGATGTACGTCCATTGCTACCAAATTCAAACTCATGAAGGTTCATAGAGCGCTCATCAGCTTATGAATGTTGTGAGACCGTCACAAAGTGTTTAGGAAAGGAGACCTTGCCATGACTAGAAGGAGCACCATTGCTATGTGGTACCAAATAATATTGAAAGCGGCAGCACGGCCAAGAAAAGGCACCTGCAAATGGAGCACAGCTGGGTAGGGGTATATTGTGAATCCTGACATGCGACGCTCGGTTACAGTATGAGAGAAGCACTCTTAGGTATGGGTAGTTCCGTGGAGACAAAGAAAGCCATAAGAAGCAACAGCACTCTATCACGCCAAAGAGCATTAGTGCCACGTATAGCTCAGGCATGATAGAACAAGTTGAGCGCACTTGAAAGACGAATGAGCATCAACGCCAACAAGCTCTCTGAGTACCAACATGCCAAGAAGAGGGCGGCCAGCATTTTCCGAAACCCGGATCCAACGCTGTTGGTTTCCACGTTGAGAAGGTGGTGACTGCCACATGGCATGTAGAAATTTGACGGGCGGGTGAAGCTAGAATTAGCTGATTCCAGGAATCTGGATCGGAGATGGGGGGGATCGTCGATCATGCTGGCTTGATTCGAATCCGGCTAAGCCTTGATTCTGTTCGTATTCTTTGCCCAACTTGAAGTTGAGCGGATACGCCACGGCCAGAAGGCATAAATGCTTCGAACCAATTGAGAGGGATTTCTCTGCAAGTTTGATGGCTGGACTTGATTAGTTGGATCTAATCTAGGCGTCGCAGAGTGGCCTGAGCCAAATGCGGTGCATTAAGCTTGCTGGCATAGAGGCGATACCTCAGTGGTACGACTGCTATCCAGACAGTAGTTAATGTCACTGAGCCTTACGAGCAGCGTCTGTCAAATTGAGGCTACTGTCCAGAAAAAACCCCTCCAAGTGCATGAAGTACTACGGTATCAGGCCTAATTTTTAAAACCCCCCCTGGTCACAATATCTTACCAACGTGTTTTTAACATACACAACCCTGTCAGCATCCCTGTCACTATTTTGCACAAGTTTTGCTCATCCTGCAAAATCTGCTCATTCTACTCTGTACGCATTCTACTAATTCTATATAGATACTAATGAGCCTGATGATAGGATGAGCTACAAGCGGCTATCAATGCTTCATAGGATGCTATGTCTCTTGACTACTCTGCTTCAGTAGATGCAGACGAGATATCAAGCAGTACAATGCCAATAGAATATAGAAACTTGATTTTAGGGACTAGTCTTATTTAGGCTATTTTGTGGGCATCTATACTTAATTCTATATAGTACGTTTTGTACTGATACTAACGTTTTCAGCCAAGGGGGGTTAACAAAAATTAGGCCTGATACCGTAGTAGAGGCGCGGGCGGAAGGAAAGGACAGACATCCGAGGCAATATCAATGGCGCTTTTCAGCCATACGTTAGACTTCTCCGGCAGGCTTCCTGACAGACATGAAGCGGAGGCGCGCGGGGAAGAAACAACCACTCATAAGGGTTTGGCGAGATAGAAGGTCATCCCGGTTTGGAAGTAGGTCGCGGCCCAGTTTGCTGAGGAGCATCATCGTTCATCAAAGCAACTGACATTGATGGCCAAGAGCCACTCTCGCGGTCAAGTGCAACGCCTGTAATAGTAAAGGCAGCAGCGCGCCTACAAGCGACCTTTCGGCCAGCGACTCGAAGAAAGGGTGCAAAGGATTTACCCTTTGGTCTGCCTTACAAGCATAGATACTGCAACAGTCTTATCCTTGTGTCTATTTTCAGGCTGGAACTCGAGCAGTAATTCAAGGAGGTTGACATATTTCTTGTATTGAAGCTCTTTTGTGGGTTGAAGCTGTCAGCTCTGGTCCAATGGTGAGCAAGGGGTACCAGCCAATCTACGACATATCTAGGACTAGAGACCCTTGTCACCAAAGCATTTACCCAGTAAAAAGAGCAAAAGCTGAGCCCTCGGGTCCAATCGAGCTTTGAAGGTCGCTGGTCTCGCAGCCGCCGTGGCCTGGGAGGTCTGACCTTGTGCAGATGTGTGGGAACGAATCAAATTGGCTGTAGTAGAAGCTGGCTTAAATTAGCGCTGCAGTTGCATCACCTCTTGCCGCTGTAACGTGAATGGCCAACAGGTCAAGTTTACTTTTTGTCCCTCTTTTCTCCCTCTGGTATTTTTGAACCATCGTCCTAGAAACCCGCCCGGCCCCAGCGCTGTCGTTCCTTCCAGTCTCCACACGCTATCAGCCAACGCTCCTAACCGTCCTGTTACGCGCTGGGGTAGCTCGCTGCTTCTAGTTGCGCTGGCCGCAAAGCAACAACTGCACTACTGGTCCCGCCCGCGTGCCACGTTACAAACAGAAATAAACCCTCCTTCCGCCTCGTTATTCTGTTTCCTTCCTTCACGGCTCACCCAGTCTCCCTCACCTGACCGTCACAGTTAATCATCACCCTCGGGTACCGTCCTCACCTGAAAGGCTTTGACACTTCATCACTCGCTTGAAGAGAAGTCGACCATCATGCCTGCTGCCGTTGCAAAACCCGTTCTCCCTCCACTCCAGACTCCAAAGTCTTCGACATTCCCGTCTGAGATCTTGAGTCCACTGCCCAGTTCTCTCAGTACCGTCAAACAAGAGGAGGACATGAGAACCCCAATTACACCTCCTGTTGCCTACACCGACTTTCTAAAAACCCTCACGCCAGTCCTCTCCACTGCTAGCCCGAGAAGTGCTTTACCCCGGAGTTACTCCTTCGAATCATCTTCTGGCAAATCGACACCCACCAGCGAACCTTCGACGGCCAACTCGGGCAGCTTCCCATTCTCTCGCCGTGATACCCATAAATCTCCGCCTGCTTCTGCTGCTACGGTCCCTAAATCTCCCTTCACTCACCACAGATCTGCTCGCTCTCCGACCGATCTCAGACGCATACGCATACCACCCTCACCTCTTTGCTCCCCTGGCAACGACTCGCCACGGAGCGCTTCAATCAACGCAATGCGATCTCCATTTTCACCCGCCGATTGGGCTCTCGACAGCAACGGTACCAGATACTTCGAAACACCAAGAAGTGCTTGTGTACGGCCTGTCAGCGTTCGATCTGTCGTTACGAGGACTGTGACATACAAGAGAACACCGCCCCTTGAACCTGCTCCAAAGGGCAAGAAGAGGAAAATGAGCGAGAAATCGATGTCACCACAACCGGTTCTTGCGACAACACCACCGACAGCTGTGGCTTAGTCGTTTCACCTTTGATGACCTTGCTTCAACATCTTCTTATTCATTTTCGGCCAAACCTGGCTCACCATTCTATACCTCGGCATATCCTATCATCCTCTTCCGCTCTATGGCAATCATCAGCTCTGTTCACTATATCTTCGCACTTCGACTTTGGGCATATTGCTCTACGACCGTCTCATTTGTTCATACGATACCAGCGGGGAAGTGCGTTCAGGCGTTGAATCATTTTGATTACTCGCCTCGTGGGTCTGTTATTCTACAAGCTGGCAGGAATAAGCATTAAAACTTGGCTGCCACATGAAGTGTGCTGTTTAACGGAGAAAAAGAAAGTTCTATAAGCACTAGCCGTGTCTGCCACACTAGGGTGGATATCATAAGATCGTGGGAGTGAAGATGTAGATTGGAGAGAGGTTGAGTGATGATGAAATCTAGTACACTAACCACATATACGACTCTCTTGGTTTCCTCGTTCCGCGGACGGAGCCGCACTCGGTTTCACGATTTTCCTATGTCAAGTATTCTGTCTTTTCTTCCGGTTTGGGCATTCAAGCCCTGTTCATCCTGTTTTCTTATTTGTCCTAAGTAGCCCTCGGTGGTCATCTTCTCCACCTCAAAACTGACTTTATTGGATCCCACGACGAACTGAGCGATCATCTCTTGGACAGTTCGTCTCTACCATCCAATCCCATCACACAGCCGATGACTTGGTCACGTTTGATTGGTTCATCGGGCATATTTACCGAAATGTCTCAATTGCCACGTCCGAGACTACCCCTCGTTTCTCCTCGTTCTTCCAACCAGATTCTGGGACTTTAATTGAAGATCGGGAAATGAACCTTAATTATGCGCATCATTACCGTCAAGGCATGTACCTGCTGTCAGGACTGTCACCTCAGACCCACCAGACTGATCTGTCATAGGGTAGCACAACGAGTGCATTACCTTCTAATCTCCGGTGACCTACAATATCTACATAGTAGAAAACAGTCCCTCCCGATCCCTCTCATGGCGAACTGTTTACCCAATCAGGCCACGCAGAAGCTATGTAATAAGACAATAAATCCCCCTCCAAGTGTAGGTGTGGGTACTAAGTATGGCTTGCACAGGGGCGTTATCCTTTAAAGCGGCAACAACGGATCGACCCAGCCGTGCGGCCTTGTGATTGGACATTCTATCCCGCCTGCTTGGAACGCTGGCGCGGACGCTAGTGCCCGACCGACACTGGCAAGGGCTGCTCCCGGGCGCTTAAAAGCGATGTGCTGTCATGCCAAGGTGAGCTTGGACCAGCTGATCTTTTCTCCTCCCCTTGTCGTGGTTGCCCTTCACTTGTTCGCTGGAGGAAGGCAGGGAGAGAGCAAGTTCTGTGCAGTGATTAGAAGATAGAGCGAAGGATGCCTGGGCATTACCGAAGAATCGTATTTCATCCATGCTTGCAGGCGTCATATTGCTTCCCCAAGCGAAAGCTGAGGCTCTAAAATACTTACTACGTAGATTTCTGCGGTGCTATCCCAAAATAGCATACCGCTACACCACTATTGGCGCTAGCACTGCAATCCCCCCCCCTCCCCCCTTCTTCAACAGGATTTCAATACTTCTTCCTCCGGTTTTCCTTTCGACCAATCAATCCCCGTCCCCCCCCGTGAGAGATTTCAGCTGCAGCTAAGCGCCCATCTGGCTGGAAATAGATGCAAAAGTTCGTCTGAAATCATGCCCAACGAACCCCGGTCCATCACATAACTACGTAACTATATTGGAGGCAGAGTCATTGAGGATTTCCCGCGTGATTAATCTGGTCACGGAGAAAGACCGAGTGAGGAATCAACGGACTAATTTTCGGCTGATTGCGCAACTTCACCTGCCTAAATCGTCCCAACCGTCGTCGTCGGAGTTGTCGTCGTCGTGATGACTGTCTCTGCCAATGCGGTACGTTACGTTACATTACGTAGTACCAGCCTCTCGTATGTTCTGTGCGCGCTCTACCACATGTAGTTTATACTAGTGGAATAACTAGTTCGTAACTTTCACGTTGCCCGTTCCATACATACTACGTAGTTATTATCGCGACGTATCTACCTCGTGCTGATTGGCGCAATCGAGGACTCTTGGTGTTAATCTAGTTAGCTAGTACAGATCCGGCAACCCTCGCCCATGCGGGAGATGGTAGGAGTATATGACGTTTACTATTACAGCTGCCAGCAACTACACGTAGTATTGTATATTTCTGCTTGCCCCCATCGATTCAGTGTGCTGCCGGGACGAGGTGGAGCTCAGTATCTCTCTTGAGAATGCATGTTGGGGCAGAAACAGGAACCCAGCATCGGAATCGAGATGATGACCCGATTAATGCCAAGTTCTGCCGGTTTGGCTCGGTTTCAATCCCCGCGCGAGATCTTTAGGTCACCCTGTTTGGGATAATGGTCTGCCGGATCAAGAAGTACTAGTTATTACTGGTACTACTAGGAGAGGTTAAGCTGCTCTCTTGTGCATCTCTCAATGTGAGTTGGAGCGCAGTCGGCACTGCATTCGGTAGTTTTATCCAGCATATTTTCTGCAGAGCGGGATGTTTCTGAGTTGAATTTTATTTTCACGCATGCGCATCCCGAGCACCGTTCGTGATAACTATTCAGAATCCAAGATAGCAAAAAGAGTATTATACGTCCAAGAGGGTTGGGTTACAGTATTGATACATTAGAGTTGTGTACGAAGTTGTTAGTAGTAGTAGTAGTAGTAGTAGTAGTAGTAGTAGTAGTAGTAGTAGTAGTAGTAGTAGTAGTAGTAGTAGTAGTAGTCGTCGTCCAGATAGGAAGTCCAAATCCAGCCCATTAGGTGGGAATTCCACAGTCTGGCTTGATCAGACTGTCCCCCCACTCCCAGTGTATTTCGAGTCTACCGTGAGTACTTATCTAGAGGAGATCACCACAGTAGCCCTGGCCATGATCGGGTCCCAGTGTTGCCACTCCTGCCCATGCACCCACGAGCTTCTTCCAGCCGGATCGTGTTGCCAAGGAGCAGTGCTTACCGCTAAACACGTTGCATACTAACAGACGACGCGACGGTATCTAATCCTCAACGGTCCGGGTGTCAGAACTGAATACCCAACAACAGTAGAATCCATTACTGATGACAAGAGCACTCCTACCGCCGACTATCAATCCTCCATATCCAGGTATCAGCTCTCTGATGATGGCTCTTCCGTTCTTTTCATATCAGGAATTCATCACCACCACAACCCCCAACCACCCATCCGTATACGTCGCATTCCTCGCTAGCTCCTCGAGCTGACTGCCCAACGGCACCACAGCACCATGCAGCACCGTCCTCGCCAGTACGGGAGTCCTCGAGCTGGGGAAGAGACTCGGCATCAGGCTCCGCAACGCCGACCCCAGTGTCTGAGTCGTCGTGCTGGTTCTACTAGCACCACCAGCTGCTGAAGGCGTCGAGTTTACTGTCGGCGGGATATGCGCTTGCACGACTTTGATGCTTGCTTTCTCCCCGTCCGGACCGGAGGGGAGGTAGATCCGGATCGGTATATTGCGGAAGTTTTGGGGGAGGAGAGAGTTGTAGATGCGTTTATAGGTCGCCATGTCGTGTGACTGGACCGAGCCCCAGAGGGCTCTGGAGTCGGCGGCGGAGAGGGACATGATTGGCTTGGCTGTGCCGGTGCGGAGGAAGTCTGCTTCTTTGACCGAGTTGATGAATGCGTCGTGGAGCACGGCGGGTTCGGCTGAGATCAAGTTGAGTCCGGATCCGTTTTGAAAGTGGAGGATCAGCTTGAAGGGGAGGGGAGGAGTGGCAGGGTCCTGGGATGAGGAGAGCACGTAGATGTCGTAGAGCAGGCCGATGGGGAGGTGCCATTTCAGGGGAACTGAGTCGTAGGTGAAATAGCCGTCATAGATCGGAGTTGTGGTAGGATCGGCGATCAGGACTGGGCTGAAGAATGCGTGAAGTCGCGGGAGGAGCAGTGGTAGGTAGCAGAGCCTGGGTACTGAGATCTGCGATCTGGTCAGTCTGGACAATATCCATTGAATAGGCTTTCAAAACTGGAAGGACTGCAGGTCAGGATAAGGCAAAGTGGGGTTCGTTGCGTTGCAGAGACGACGATAGATCTTTCCCATCCGGCTGAGGGCTCTCGCTTATATGAGAAGCTTACCAAGTATGGGTCTGATTGATCGTAGATGCGGCATTCAGAAGATGCCAGCCGAATCTCCAACGGAAGACGTCCGGCCCACACTCTTTCTTGCAACACACTCATAACTAAGGTCAGGGTGCTTCATTGCAATTTGTTCTCCATTGATATGACTACACCCGGCATTCAGGGAAGAGAGGGACGTAGATCGACAGGTGAATTTTCGACCCCGACCTGCTTGCCACCTTGCACTCAAGAAGCAATATGCTGGCTCTCGTTGACGATGCACCGTATTTGCATAGTGATCCGCCGGAATGTCAATCTCTAGACTGGTGACTGTAGAGACCTGGTCCTCTCGTAAGTTAGATAACTGCTGGCGTTGCTGACTACTTGAAATGGATGGAAGGGGATGATCCGGGAAGTGCCGCGGTGTCAACGCCCGCCACGTCTTTATATTTTGATTGGTGACTGACTAGCACAATTACAAGAACGACATACCACAAAATGAATAGATACTCATCAGTCCGCTCATTGGGTTCCCAGCTTGCAAGAAGGGAACTTCCATCCGGACTGTTCCTCCGACGTATTCGTGTAATTTATTGGTCTTAGTTGTACTACGTGTCCACAAAGCCAACAAGAACTGGTCCCTCATGCCAGAAATGATCACATCTGCTAGACTCCCAGCTCCTCCCCCGAGGTGATGACAGCCGCAGAATTATTCCCCGATGTCACTCCAATAACGGTCTTTAGTGCTCTACACTCCCGGACATCGAAACCAAAGAATCGGAGCTGCATCAACCCATCTACCGCCGGACTCGGATAAACCTGATGCACGAAACAGAAACAGAAACAGAAACAGAAACAGCCGTACGGCCAGGGTGCTGGCCAAGAGGGCTAGGCTTCAGAAGGAAGGTCGATTCATCTGTTCGTCATGGTCTCCAGAACTGGAATTTATCCTCTCGACAACATGGAAAAGGCCAAATGATCCTTGAATAATATACCGGGGTGGTGCTGATACACTAGAACGTTGCAGCCAAGACAGTTGAGCGGTAGCCCAACTCTTGGAAGGTAGTACTCGAAGGAGTGTGTCTTGAGATTGGGGCAGATGGGTGAAGAAGCTGTTCTTCGAAGCACAGGGGTAAGGATGCGGTGGCTGCGTCGAGCAGAACCTGTTCTCTTCGACTCTTTGCAGCATCTTTCATTACGAACAACAAAGAAAGACCATCTAAGACGGATTTGCATGCCGAGAGAGTGACAAATGTACGGACAAGGACGAATTTGTCGAGCGGCAGGGCTGAATACCCTGAACATAACCGTTACTCTTGATGCCACTGTGAACGTCTACGCGCCACACTAAAGACCAACTAGACTTAAAGCATGGATAATTAGCGAGCGATAGCCCTATGGAACTTCTATTACCGGGATTGTTGACTTTGTATCACCAGAGCGTACAGCTAATCTAGCCTGGCGGTAGAATGTTCCAGGATTGAGACATGCCACTGATAGCCCGGATTGCTTCCCCGAGCTCTGTCACCAAAATACTACCGATCCTGTGTAACATTAACATTATCGAAAGCGTCACCTGTATGCAGTCACCTCAGGCTGTATGCACGGGGAGGCTGAAGAACTTACCCCAGAAAATTCGGCCCCAGAACCACAACTGTTTGTGCCCTGTGAATAGTCCATAACCTTTTGCCCACCTTGTCCTGATTAAATGAATAGCCCACACATACACGAAAGAGGTAGAGCGCCGTAACACCACATCAACCACCCACCTGCATGGACATGCAACCCCCCATCCTCCAAACCACTGAGCAGGGCTCATTTCTTCATGTCTGCGATCCACGACTGCGTCTTTCCTCCATACTGGCTGACTACTCTTGCTGAATGGCTGATCTGATTGCAGGTCCTTGTTAGATGCCTGTAAGATGAACGTTCCCGTGTTCTTGGGTTCATAAAAATCCTGGCATCCCCACCCTCTCGTAAATGCATGTACCGAAGATCGAATGCTGTGCATGTTGCGCCTGTGCTTGTGGATTGTGGTGGAGCATGTACCATGATGGCGCCCTCAGCTATTGGGCATGTCGTATGTAGCACCGCCAAAGTTGAAGCTCCTGGGGGGATGACGTGCGATCCGAAAAGTCTGACCCTGTCCACAGCCTCTGTCACTGCTCGAAACGCGGATGAACTTTTGTCACCGCTCGCCGCCGAGCCCCCACGGGTATGACACCGCCCGCCCGTTCCAAATTAATCATTCCAGGGTACAGATATTTGCAATTTGCAAACGAGCCTAGCAGATGCCTGTAGCTGGGAGAATAGCTAATCGGGGCCTCCGTTTGGCAAGTGAATGCTGCACCGCTGCCGACTTATATAGAAGATCTCATAGTAATCCATCTCGGTTGCTTTGAGCAATTACGAGAATATCTGATAGTAGCATTTTCAATCAGTAATCAACGCTCTTCCCATCGCTATACAGTGCAGTTCTTCCTTCCAGAGAAAATAGCAGGATCCGGAGATCGAATCGAGTATGGCACCCACTGCTGCCCAAGATGTAAATAGGTGATGTCTGGACGACCAGTAAAGCAGCCCGAATAGATGCTGATGTAGATTAGCTGCATATGCACTGGTCAGCCAGGGCTCACACAATCGAATCTCGCCAATTTGCCAGACGGCCCTACGATGCTCGACACTTTCGGAGCCGCATCCTCGAGCGAAGGCTTCGAAGCACGCTTTGTGGCCGCACAGCGGAATGACGCACGTATAGCGTTTGAAGAGGGAAATAAGATAAGAATTATGAAAGAGCTTGCTCTGACTGTGAGGAAAATCAATGGGAGAACGGAAAGTGATAAAAGAATAACCCCAGCAACAAGGCCTTAGTGGAAGCAGAGCGCCGGAACAAGATGGTTTGGCATCTGCACGCCATAGATATGGAGGATTGGAGTGATGCTCAGGGGAGAACGTATCCGTGGTGTACGGGCTAAAATTCACCCTGTTGGTGCTTGCACGCGCCAAAGAACACGTCCAGGAAAGTATCAACGATATTTTCGGTAATATCGAACACGAATTGCTCTTTTCTGAGGGTCCATGCGAGGGCTTTCCCGGAACATGTCGGAGCAAATAAGCCACACTTACCGCTCCCGGTAACAAAGATGGGGCTGTTGAGATAAAGCGCTGCGTCATTCTTCTGAAATCTTCAGTGGCACTTGCAAGTAGAGGGCGGTCCACGTTGGCATTGTAGTAGTATAACAATAGATAATATATCAACAAGAGCATTTAACAAGGGCATCCTTCGGTATCCTTGACGTAGGCAGTACAATTATGCTCCTTGAGCAGTTTCAAATCCAGGCCAAAATAACCACCATTTCAAAGTTGAGAAACCGTCATGGAGAATGACGGCCGAGAGAAAGGAAATTATCCAAGGACGACCTCGTGTTTCCCGGACACGACTCCATCGTGGAATACAGTAAATGCGAAGGCAGGTATAGCCATATCGCAGTGTCAAATCAGATTGGTAATCCCGTCCAACGGCGATCCTGGATGCAGTTTGCGGTTTGGCTATAGAGGCGATCTAGATGTCCCATTGCGGCTGCATCTTTGAGCATTCTCGCAACTTGCGTACCAGCAGAGATGAATTGCAATACACTTCGATCATCCTTGAGCGGCCTGCTCTGATGTGAAGCTGTACAGGGAGCGTCCAAGGAATTCTCAAGAACGGTGACTAGTTGCTTGATCTGGTTGTCATGAAGGACCCTGGCTGGAATGCGCCGCTTGGTGGCTAGGCGTTTGAGTAAATACACCCACTCTGTCCAGTCTCGGTCCTGTGGTGTGATGACCAGACGCTTCTCCGGCTCGACAGGAATAGGAAATTGATACCTGGCAACAAAATCGAAGGCACAGTTGGACAAAACTTCATTGAGCCTTCCAAAGATATCGTTTTGCTCTTCAGAGCTTAGAGACATGGGCAGAACAGGAAATGGCTGATCCTTTGCGGCAATACTTCTTGGAGAGGGGAGGTTTAAGAGCTGATGGGGGCCATCAAACTCGTCCCGGTTAGAGGACTTCCTCTGGGATCGCACATAAGCAACCGGTGTTTGTCCTTCCATGTCGCCTTCTGGTAATCTTGTTGTGTTATGTGCATCGCTGTCTAGAGATGAAATCAAAGACGACCGCCGGGCAGAGATCTGAGTATGACCAGCGGATGGACCGCTCCAGGGATCCCGGTGTGGGACTGGCATTTGCGGCGGAGAATGCCGAACGGGAGCCGCAGAATAGATTCCGCTTGGAGAAAAAGAACCTTGTTGCATTGAGGGAGAGACAGGAACGCTTGAGGGACGATGGCGATCGTCAGCTCTTTCAGATCCCACTTTGGCTGGATAGCCTCCAGGAATTGACACCGGTGGAAAGGTTTGAGCACGGCAGCACGGTGTAGTAGGTTCGACGAAGCTGCTGATGAACGCATTAGAACGGTGTACTCATGCATCACAAGCGCACGGGCAGCGGCACCTCGATTGACTGCCCGGCAACGTTCCCGGGGATGTAGAGGGCTTGTCCATGGCACGCCTCTCCTTTTGAACGAGTGGAGGGCTGTTTGGTATGGTAAAACGCTCAATATCGTCGCAAAAGAGTACAAAACGTGTGTACTTACCGCCGGCTAATAGCTTGGCCTTGATGTGAAGGACCGATCCACGATCCCTTTAATCCTCGGTGCAGTGACATGTGGTTGGAGTTCGTCAAGAAGGCCACTTCAGCGCAGAGCGTAAAGAATGCAGTTCGAAAGAAAGGCAGGAGGACAGGCTCATATCAATTTAAGTATGAGGGGAGAGGAGGAGCGAAATATGACGTCGTTTAGGGTATCCATGTAGACTGGGTTTGAGCATACACACACCAATTGATGAGCTGGGTCCAATACAAAGTGCGGGATGTCGGCTCTGCTGGGCCCCATCGGCCCTGCTCAATGCTTACAGTTTGTAACAGCTAGTAGATGCATCAAAAGGACGCCCCGGTAACCCTACTGAGTCCAATCCCTAGCAAAAATTCAAAGAGCCCTGGTATTTGGGAGCGCTAAAATGCATACCACAATGGGGCGTGAGTGCGAGGAAGTGAAAAGCGGTTCTGGAGCCGAAAGAGCACGCCCCTTGTGGGGAAAATGCTGCGAGCTAAAGGTTGTATTCTGACTTATGGCCTGCGTAATTCAAGCAGCATTCTCCGCACGGATATCTCTGCGTCCTAACATGCGAGGTTGAAATCTCTAAAACCATGTTGTAGTACTGTCAATTGATGCCCAACCGACGAGACGAAGAGCTGAAATAGCTATGATCGCCGCTTTGATATTCGGTAAAAAGGGGCGTATTATTCCTCGTCACCAACCCCTTGGGCCTTGGCAGGATCAACAAGGGAATGACGGTTATCATCCTGATACTAGCTCTAACAGCGATTAATGTCCGGTCAGCTGGGCGATTCTCGTCGCGCCTGGTACCTTCTTACGCGGGGCCGAAGCAATGTGCTAAGTGGGAGTTGATGCATATGCTGTATGCTACTCCCGGGTATTTCGTCATTGTGCCTGAGTCGCGGACAGGATAATTTCGGTTGCAATGCTCACAACTTCTGGCATCTCACAACAGCTCTCCGCTTTGGTCATGGTGGAGTGTACAATAAGTCAAGGGGACATTGAGGTTGGACACGGCTATGATAGACGCAGATCCCAGTGTGGTTGGGCAGCAACGTGTTTGCGCGCTGATCTTTAGTGGACTATGCGGTCGATCTTGGTTCGACAGGGTATGTGGTACTGGGTAAAGGCGGACTTCGAGCGGCGAAAAGCTTTATCACCTGGATGCTCTAGCAGTAGCTCAGGGTCAAAGGTTCCTCGGCTGAGGAAGAGCTCGAGAGTCAGGCGCGTCGGCATCGTTCATGACCGGGTTGAGCTGTTTTGAGCAATTCTAGAGCTGATCGGCATGGAAGGTGATGCGCCAAGCAACGTCTCCTATCTTCGATCCTTCACATTCAGGGCGCAGAGCAAAGAAATCGTGATACCAGAGACCTACGAGTTCAGTGCAGGATGAGACACATCACAAGACAGTTATCTATGCACGCAGTCATTCAAATCGGGCACACGATTCCGCGATAGGCATAAGGAGAGCAACTAATGTTCTTGGACAGTGCCCAGGACCACGGGATGTGCATCTATCTATAGCCTGAGTACGCTTATAAAGGGGAGGTTTAACAGATGACCAATTCTGCTGTATGTCGTGGTTTTGAACCAATGTGGAAACTGATTCATGTACTCTTCAGAGGAACCTATCAATAGAGTTATAGAACACGTGGTGCCACAATTTATCCTTTTGCTCGTTGTCTCAGTCGTTTTGCGTAGTCCTGGGAAATGTCAGCTCGATCCAACTGAGGATTTTACGCATAACATGGATGAGGTATACCTCGCAACTGATCCTGATCCCTTCTTCAATACCAACCCGCGCCTTGTAGCCTAGAATCTTCTCTGCCTTTTGCCCATTGGCATATCTCACACTGCAAGCATCCCTGACACTGCCACGGCTCAAAGTAGCTGTCGTACCGTTCATCCAGGCAAAGCATTCAGCAAGAAACCCTGCAAACCAAGCAAGACCTGCAGGTATCACGATCTCAAAAGGCGGAATGTGCCCAAAGTGTTTCCAAACGGCAAGGCTAAGATCGCGAAACGCGATTGCCTCATTGTTCTGAATGAAGAACGCCTCCCCCGCTGCTGTCATGGTGGATAAGAGGTTCTCCGCTGCCAGGACATGGGCATCTGCAATGTTGCCGACGTACGTGACGTCCCATAGATTGTGGCCATCTCCAATGATGTAAGAAGTTTCTCGGTTGGCAATGCATGCATGAATCGATGGCAGCAATTGGCTGTCACCTTCTCCGCATAGTACAGACGGGCGTAAAACACAGGCCTTAATACCGTCTCCAGAAGATGAAAGTACTAGTTCCTCGGCAAGAGCCTTGGAGAGGTCAGCAATTATTGACGCCACACCACGAGCCTTTCATGACCTTTGATTCACCATATATCGAAGATCTATAGGCCAATGGCCATCTCTCGTCGATGTTCGCGTACTGGAAGCTGACATCGTCTATGACGGCTGTACAGCTGCCAGTATAAACGAAGGCAGCACATCCAGCCTCTTTTGCAGCACGTAAGGTATTCCGCGTGCCTTCCACGTTCACACGGAGAACATCTTTCTCCATGCGCCGAGCATATCGCTCGCTTAGGGGAGGCACTATCCCAGCAGTATGGATGACCACCTGGGGTCGACACTTGGAGAAGACATTCGACAGGCTCTCTGGGGATGTCACATCTGCTTGAGCAAAAGAGAGATCGGAGTCTGTTGCAAAGCCAGTGTCGTTGGAGACCTGGATATCAACTACAGTAATGTGACAACGCGGATGCTTTTCTCTGAGGGCTCGCACTATCGCAGAGCCTAAGAAACCTGTACCCCCGGTGACAAGCACGCTCCCGATTTCCATGAATCCACGTTGCTAAACAAAGAAAGAGTCGAGGCCATAGGGGAGAAATAAGCCAATAAATAACAAGCGAAGGCTGATTAATGATGTATTGCATTGTTCGGAACGAATTCTTGATAGTAGATTGAGGTCCGAAAGAGGACTAGCTTAACTAGTAACCATGGCTATGTGTGTAACCCATTTGAAAAGATGAGAATACGGAAGTGTGACCACTACGTGCAGGGGCCGCACACCACTAATGGGAGTAGATCGCATGTCCCCTTAATAACCCTTTGTCTGTCATCGTAAAGTAGCTGTGTCCTGATTGTAGATTTACAGATTCCAGACCAGGGTAGGCAAAACGCCGCGCAATGCAAGGACAGCATCATACATAGAACAATTTAGTAAACTCGGCATAACAGCATGCCTCCAATCTTCTTTTCCACGCACTCTCTAGCCTCCATCACACCTTTATCCGTTGTGACAAACAAGCACTCTCCAGGCCGCCGTAATCCCTTCACGTAGCCACTCTGCCTGCCCAGAACCAATGTCGACAGTCCCTCTGTATCCATCCATATTCGTCTTGTCGGTTTTGATACCATCTGCATCTTCTCGATTACCGGTTCACTGTTCCAATATTTCATGCCCAGCCATAATCTCCGCGAGGCAACGTTTTCTTGTGTGACAGGCTCTATTTCTGCTGCTTCATTGTTCGGAGCGGGATGGTTGAGGAGAAGGTGTGGCGGAGGTGGAGCTTGACCGCCACGCACGACTGTCGATAGAAATCCTGCATTTTGCAATGCAAGTGCAAGTCGAAGATGTAGAATTGTCGACGGTATTGAAGTTAGACCGAGTCGAGCCTTCGAGGCATTCTGGAGGTGTGAACAGATATTCGCAAGAAGCACCAGCGACATTGTGTATCAGCGTGCGGAAAGGGAGTGACCCGTTCGATAGAGGTAGTACGGTCGTGTTTGATATAAGGAGGAGATTCAGCACTGCACCCTTATTAGCAGAAGAACCGAGGCATTTTCTCGTAACACTACAATAAATCAAGAACCTCTCGGGGAGGCCAATTCCATTATATCTCCGAATGTATATCGTTGTTGCTTCCTTCTTCGTCTCGGACTCCAGACTGTGGTTCGCTGCTAATTGCTTTTGGTAGAGTAGCACCTTGTCGCGCAACTTCAAAGACCAAAATATCTCCGGTTTAGCACACTTTTTAATTCTTGGCATTTACATAATCTGCCATGGTAGCACTTACCAGGGGAAGGGGTAGCTAATGATAAGTATGAGCTAAGGGCCATTGGTAGAGATGACAGCTATTTTGTCAAATGACCATACTAATATGACAAGAGAAGCACATTTTGATCATCCTATGACTATATTTTCAGCAAAATACGGTGTAGATAATAAGATTTCATTGGATCACAGACACTAAGCTGCGTGTCCTTCTACTCTCTCAGTAAACTTACTGTGTTGTTAGCTTAGTCTAAGCGCACTTTGATGGCTCCCTAAGCATTATTTAAAGAGGGCCCGAAGCTTGGCGCCAAAATTCTGCGCAGTTAAGGATCCTCCTCCTTTATACCCCTTGCCTTCTACTACTTATTATTCCACTATCTTTGAACAGAAATAGCTCAAAATGGCCACAGAGATCCCCCGTCGCCGGCGCGCCCCTGCGAACAGCGTATGCTCGAATCCTCCGTCTCCTCGGGCCCCCAGAGCCCCCCAAACTATTCTCGACACTCCGCGGCGTACGAAGCTCCTTGCTGATGCACGAGCTTACGCAGGCAAAATGCCTCGGAAAGAGCTATTTAAGATATATAATGTAGCCCAGAGAACTGGCTATAAGATCCTAAAGCAATGAACTATGCGCCGTGGCCCTGGCGTTCATAATAGAGGTCAAAAGCGAATTTTGGAAGATCATTAATGCGCAGCAATCGAAGCAGTAGAAGATGCTAATTTCTTCTTTGCTTCTTCAAGTCACTATAGGGTAGCAAGGGATATTGGTCTAGCAACAGGATCTGAACGTGCTATTCAAAGAAATATGGCAGATTTTAGTATAAGAACATACCGTGCATTACAGAAGAAATGGCTCCCAGAGCATTCGATTGAAGTACGTAATCTTTGGGCATTTGAACACCGTTATTATAACCTAGAAGACTTTAAAAAGTATCAGTGGTGTGATGAGTCTCATTTTGCTACTAGCCTTTAACGGCAGGCCTTAGTTCATCGTCGCTGTGGCCAGGAGAATCAAGAAAAGCTCTCAAAAACCTAATACAAACTCAAGCGCAAAAACCAGACTATTTATGTCTTTACAACCATCAGTTGGAACTTCAAGGGTACCCTCTACTTCTATACAGGCACAGGGAAAGGCGGGAGGCTTATCCAAGCTGATTATGTAAACATTTTAGAGGAGGTTGTTGCTCTAGAATAGGACGAAAATCTCATTTTGATCAAAGATAACGATGGACCACATGATACGAAGGGCAAGGCTAATAATAAGGCTAAGCAAGCCAAGATCAAGCTTAACATCAAGTGGCAAGCTCAGCCTCCTAATTCGCCAGATCTCAACCCTATTAAGACCATTTGGCGCATTATCAAGCAGCGTTTGAAGAATAGGGGGGTCATCTTCCAAACTGAGGCGCTGAAGGCTGCTATCCAGGAGGAATGGGATAAAATCAGCATTGAGGAGATCAACAATGCTATCTCTACCATGCCAGATAGAGTAACTTGTTTGCAAGAGCGTTTTGGGAAGGCCATACCCTATTAGAGGGAGTAGATAGAAATGCAGAATCCTTAACTGCACAGAATTTTGGCGCCAAGCTTCGGCCCCTTCCTGCTAAGCAGTGGGCATCTGCCTATAGTTTTGCGACATAATCTCATCATTTCGTACTTCTCATAATAAGTGTACATCTTTCCACCTGCCATCCAGTCTCTAGAGCAGCCGCTTCTCTATTCCTTCAGCTCTTTGCCCAGGCGACCTAGCGTAAGCGTCCTGCATGTACAGTCAATGATATTGACTACTTACCAGACCAGTAATGTGCCATCGTGCAGCTGGCTGATCAGGTGGAAGTGTATTGTGGTTGTTAGGGTTGAGATATAGTCTACATTTGGGCTGGACGATCTAACGATGACCTCTTGAGACTCTCGTCGACTCCATCTAAGGTCAAATTGTAGACCGGATGTCACGTGATATCTAGCGCTGCAACAAACGCTACTGGATTCTGCGCGTCTTCGATGAATTTTGCTGGTTATCAAACGGTGGCTCAAACGGTGGCGTATTGTGCGACGTTTTGAATGCGTTTTATCACAGATTTGTTACGCATTTCGCCTCGAATTGACATGTATTTTTAGTATTGACGTTTCGCGCTATTTCGCATGGACTGGTTGTTTGATATAGCAATTTGGTATGTATAAATAGGCTCTCCTTGCGCGGTCAATTAGATAGAACAACTTGCTATTCAGATTCTATTCTCCTGATTAGTCAGCAACGTTCGACACAAATCTATTTGTACTGAGACAATCAGACGATACATCATGCTGTACCTTGGCCAAACATGCTTTCATAACGATGGGTCCCATGTCCGGTTAGTGGTAAGGCAAAAGATTTCAATCCTCCAGGTTTTGTCACTTCCTTAGGTTGGGCTATGGCAACCAAAACAATAACCACAGAGAAGATTCAATCTGGAAGCTCAAAAAGAACGAGGATCTCACGTGATGCCGAGCGCTTTATGTATAGTCTCTTAGACAAGACTAAATACCCATTGCCGCGCCCGTTGAGAGTTTGAGTAGCCTCATCCGGCCTGGTGTGAGGCCTCAGATGGCGCTCAACCTATTCATACAGCAGGAAGCAGCCTTGGCCGCGCTCCTAATATGTGGAAATAGCCAAGGTTTCAAAAAAGACAATCTACTACACCCCAAAAACAAGACGCAAATGGGATCATATGTAGGTGGTCGAGAAGCAGTCTAAAACTCATCTCTCTTTCGCCCCTTTGTGCTCTTCAATAAGAGCCATCATCCTGTCCAATCTTTCCTCATATTTTTGCATACGCCCTTCATAATTCTCCACTTTCTGATGCAACCGCTGATTTTCTTGCTCCGCTAGTAGCCGCAATCTCCGCTCTTTTGTGAGCTCCTCGAAGAGCCCATCTCCGCCGTGGCAGCTGAGTTCCCCTTCGCTTTCGCGCTTGCGCTTCCCAGATTGTACAATAGCTCCTGTGGTTTCACTTGTGGTGGTGAGTTTGCAAGTGCTCGATGCAGCCGCCGACTTTACACGTATTCTGGGTACTAATTTCTGCTTGTGCAGTCCACGAAGATGCTGATCCAAGTGATCTTTACGGTAGAAGCCTGCACCTGGTTGGGAACGGTTGCAGTCTGAATAGGTGCAGAAATGTTTCTCACTTTGGCCGTGTTTGGAGTTTTGAGAAGAAATAGTCTGTTCATCTTGAGCCAGTTTGTGGACTAAAAATGTGCTGAGTGGTGTATGATATCCAGACTCAACTGTTTCTAGTCGTTCATTTTCCGTACTTTCCTGAATTGTGCTGGTGGCTTGACACGAAGAGAATCTAGGAGTGATAACGATCTCACTAGATTTTTCATGGTTGGTGACTAGTGAGTTGATAGTGTCAATAGAGTCCACCGCTGATGAAGTCGGTATAGAGTCTAGGGTTGTCATCATACCACAATTGGCAACGGGTTCAGGTACATGTATTTGTAATTGCTGCTCGAGATTTTGTGGGTTGAATTGAGGCTCACTCCACATAGACATGTCCCAGCTAATGTCACTAATATTGGAGTCGAAGACTGGAAGAGTATTTAACGCCTTAGTAGATAAAAAGAAAGAGGGACAATCACCTCGAAATGGATCGATGGAATCAATGCCCTCGAACAGGCCAGTCGTATCGCTAGTCGTTGGAATGTCGTCTTGGTCTCCCGAGTTCCTATTAGGCTCTTCATAGAACATCCAACAGACACCCCACAGCACGACCAGAGCGGGCCAGATCGTCCAAGGCATTGTTGTGCATGGAGGCCGAAGACCGTTGGGGAACACTGAGAAGGAGATGATCCGGAATACCCGAATAATCACAAAGCAAACCCATTCAATTAACCCAGCAATACACAAACTTTCTGGGAAACATTGGCATCCTGGACAATAGCTGTCTTCCCAAATGCTGCCGCCGCGTCTGAGATTCTCATTGAATGGACCCATCTTTAGAGTGTGGTTGCTTGGTACGATGATCTGGGGATTGAGAAGGAAAATGTAGGGCTGTAAGTGGCTTTGGTACAGGGGCCACGTTCATCATTTACATTCTCTTCAAACCACTATCGCCCTAAGGTAATAGGGCGATAGGGCGGTGTTCTGGTGATAGTCTAGGCTCAATAAGGCCATAACGCGGGGGCGGTAGAGGGTAAGGGCGGGATAAGGACAGCTCGAGGCCCATAGACAGAATTAGTGGCCGTGACAGAAAACGTTGAGAGCAACACATGAATCGACATGATCGTCCATTTCGCTGTACATTCGCCGGCTGCTCAGGTTCACCCTTCGGGTTTGACTCCACTAAAGGTCTCGATAAGCACCTGAAGAATAAGTATCCCGGGATGGTTGGATTACATACGCAAAGCTGAAGGACTCCAAGCCCGCGGTCTTGGAGCTCAAGTGCGAAATCTGCAGCTCTACATTCAATCGAAAGCTCAATCTCCGGACTCCTGTGCAGACCCAGCACACCGACGAACCTCCTCTCAAAGGCAGCTTTGAAGAGTGCAGATTAGCTTTTAGCCGTGAGAATGATCGCAGCTGGCGTGAGGTACTGCAAGTGGTGAAAAGAAATATTACTGCGGAGGTAGCATTGGTTTAGAGGCCACCGAATCGTGGGGTTGTGGCTTGCGTTTCGCTCGATTAGAGGGCTAGGGAGATACTTTCGCTCTGTCGAAGGCCGGACTTGTCTCCAACCATTCTGGCAGCAGTAGTCTGAAGCGCAAATAGACCAGACAGACAAAGGTCAACAGGTGCGACTTGCTGCAGTTGAGAAGTGGAGGAGTGAAGCCGAGGAAAAGCGCATAGCCAGAGAGTTGGAGGAGGAACGGGAGAACGAGATACCGGAGAAAAGAATACGGAGCAGAATAATTCTTCTCCCAATGTGATGAACATGAAATCTCCGAGAAAGGTGTCAGGGAGCAAACTTCAGGACCTAAGCACAATCTTACGACCTTCGATTCAGCGATGCTAGACCGACTTCCTTCGTTCCTTGAAGCTCCTGCCCTCAACATTTCTTGGGTCCGTCAACCAAGACCAGACCAGTGATCAGAGTCCGAACAATGGTATTCGTTGGATACTGGGGACTCCAGCACCCCGGGAGCCTATGACCAGGACACTAGTGGAAGCAGATAGCAACGTTGCAACGATTTGGATTGCCGTTTTTAGAGCCTCTGAAGCGACGGGTGTTCCGACAGAACTTGTTTCCTTTTCCGTCTTTAATAAGACTATCTTCTACTCTGGTGACGAAAAAGATGGACAGTGGACGATGGGAGAGCATTCTTCTCGGAGTACGTAGAACGCTATCACGGTCCATTGCCAGAGATATCTCAAGGCGGGTCTTGTTGGAGGTTCTTAGGGCTCAGTAGTAGGACAGATCAAGGAAAGTGGAATGTTGCCTGACCACGAGATCAAGAGCTTCCATTACCTACGTTCTATGGCGATATATAGAACTAGCTGAAGCTGAACCACCGACCTGGCCCGCCAGTCGCGTGGACATCCCTAGTGTTGGTGATTGGTCCTCTTAGGTCATGCATCATGTCATTGTTACTCTTGGCTGGGTGTTTTTTTTTTCCCTTCAAAAGGAATGCAAAGGTTGGAGGTGGGTGGTGTGTATGCTTGACCCGAAGGACTTCGGACGTAACTTAGTGGTCATCCCAGCTATTTTATTCGTTTTTCCCTACTACGGTACCTTTCATAAGTATTCGTAGTACAGCGCTAGTATATTTGCACCAAAACAGGCTTTAAACGAGACTTGTATGGTTAAGCGGTATTGTTGTGGCCAATTGATACCAACAACTGTCTAAGAAGCTTCTAGACACTGAGGTGGCGCTGTAACTGAACTAGTTGCTACTAGCGCCGTGCTACGATCAATTATGCCCCTTACCGTAGTAGATAATTCCACCGGTGTCAGTTAGTAGCCCAGTGCTCTGGCACCGCTAGCCAAGGTGTCATGCCAGAGGCGGTAATCTGTACGACTTGGGACCTCCGGACCCGTGCTGTAGCCAATGCTAGCAAAGAATTTTCTCTAACTAGCAACAATGGCGCAGCGGCTTCCCGCAGCGCTGCAGAGCCCGATGAGCCCCAGACAGGAGGATTTGAGGCACCGAGTTCGGCAGCACAAGCGACATCATTGATTACGGTAAGTATCTCCTTGGCATAGTCATTTACCCTGCCAGCGCTTGTTCCGAGGCCGTTTTCCTCGTCTTTGGCTGCCTGAATCATGCGCTCTCTTCCTCTTACACAGCAGCTGGTCGTCAAGATTTCCCAGGTTGAAACAGCTTCTTGATATACCAGATGCCTCCACTTCCCGGCGAAGAGCGACTGCAGACAGTGTAAACTCAGGCTCGAAATTCACAGTGGAAGTGCGGCTAATGTAAATAATTCAGGTTCGCTGATATCCACTATTACTTCTCTGCGCCGACTCCGCGACCTCTCCATCATCGTTTCGATAAAGGCTCCTACTTTTACATATATCACAACGCAACCAAACAGACATCCAGGTTAGAAATTGCGAACAACCCTGGCACCTCAGACCAAGATGCGTTCAATGGCAGTAAGTGCGAACGCAAGCAAATTTTAACATCCTAACTCCCGGCAGGTCTCGACGGAGTATATATGCGATACTCGTACAAGTTTCCAACTCTTCTGACAATACTCGTCGATCCACATGATGGGACACCTAATCCTGCGTCACCGTTAACACCAAAAGATCCTCAGGAATGGCGTCTGGCCAGCACCGATCCTCGGGACCAGGGCCTGCTCAAGTATAGGCTGCACACCCTAGATATCTACTTTTGGACGCTGGAGGATGCCAAAGCAGTGATCCAAACTTTCAAAAGCATTCTACGCCCTCAGCAGCTGGACATCTTGGATGCGCCTCGAACGAGCAGTCATGCTCAATCAGAAATGAGCCCTGTTGTTCAGCAGCTGGAAAGCATCGCTATCACAGACCCAGCCTATCGAAATGGCCAGACGCGGAGTTCTCAGAACTCAGCTGCCACCTTACCTCCTCCTCCTCCACCACCACCCCCAACGCTGGCAAATTCTAGACAATCACCTTCAAGCCAGGTCGACTCCGCGGCAAGATCTCCTTCTATAAGATCAAACGAAACCCCAACTAGTTTTGCGCCCATGGCCTACAATCCAGCGGCCCCACCAGCTCCAGAACCCATCGCACATAGGGAAAAGACGCCTCCTCCGGCGGATGCAACAAATGGAACAGGCCTAGCAGCTGCAGCTTACGCAGATCATACCCAAGCTTATGCAGGCACCCATCCACAACCATATCCCAGCGTACCAGGTCCGCCACAACTATCAACCTCTGGGAACTATGGCTCCCCTCCTCCTCAACAACCAGCACATACTTCCGCTCCACCGGCGCACACCTTCTATCACACAAATTCTGTGCATTCGAACTCGTCTTCGCAAGGCACCCCAATGATAAGCCCTCATCCTGCACCTCCATCAAGCGTAACCAGTCCTTCTGTCAGACAGCCTTCTACCTCACTCCCTGGATATGCTCCTCCGCCACAAGATCCGAATGCACATCTCTATGGCAGGAGCCCAGGCATTCCCACCGCCCAACCCGTTAGGCCAGCTCCGCAACCTCAATCACAACCTGGCTTCGCACCACCGCCACCACAACAGCATCAGGATCCAAATGCCCACCTCTACAACGCCCAAACACCACTAGAGTCGCCGGGTGCCCAAATCTACGGCTCCGCCCCCCTGGCCCCGCATCCCCATCAACCTCTCCCACACCTCCAGCCCCAATACGCAGATTACCTCTCATCCCGACCGCCTCCTCAGCCTCAACTGCAACAACCACCACCACCTCCAGGCAGTGGCTATCCACAATACCCTTACGCTCCGCAACAGCCGTACCACCACCATCACAACGCCCAGCACCATCATCATCACCACCACGACTCCGCCGCCGCAGATGGTAATCTTTACGACGTCCACAACCAGATCTATCGCCCGTCCCAAGAGGAAGACCGGCATAAGCATAGGAAGAGTTCAGCTGTTGGGATTGGGCACACCGGTAGTGTGGGCAGTGTGGGGAGCGTGGCCAGCGGTACGGGCGGGAAACAGAAGCCGGCGGGAAGGCTGGAAGACGCGGCCGGCAAGGTGGATAAGAAGGTGGGTGGCTTTTTGAAGAAATTGGAGAAGAGGTTGTAATTTGAGATCTTACTGGCTTGGGTCGAGCGGGCTGGGGAACGCTGGAAGCTGAGAAGTCGTTTGCGGAGAGTTGTGAATGCGAAATGCGTAGAGAGATATGTGGAGTCGCAAGACATGTCGCATAGGACCTGATGCGGCGTGCATGGCCCTTTTCTGATGGCATGTTGGTGTTGTATGAATTGCTCTATTCCATTCTTCGCTTTTTTGCGGGAAATACCTGGTTTATTCCCGTGTCTGCAATCCACCGAGTCTCATGAGGTGGAAGCGGAAAGAGTTTCCCTCTTTGGTGTTCGGCAGCGAGGGCGCTTTGTTCATATTTTCTAGTTAGTCGGACTTGCTCTATAGGGATCTGGGAGCGAAGCGATCGCCTATGAATATTATGACTTTCATCGACTGTGTTAAATTTTCAAGGGGTTGGCACAGTTTCTATCGGCTGCTATTTGTTGACCCGGCCACGGTGTTTGTAGTTCCCTTGGTTATGAGGTTGTCTCTTCCTGGCGTCGTCTGGCTGAGTTGCTAGACTAGACTAGACTTGGAGGGGTTGGATGGGGATGGTTGTTCGTTTCTGAACTGATTGGAAGGGGGATGTGCGATGGCACTTTGAGTAGGTGGCTAGCAGCCTATGTGTACCTGAACAAGTTGGAGCGGAGCATGTACTTTGCGGTCTAATTTGGAAGGTGCGGACGCCTGGCAGTGGGCTTTCCGTGATGAATTCTGGCGGGTTATCAGAGCGCAAGCCATTTGTTACGGTCTCACAGCGAACTGCTGAGTCCTCAGCGAAGAGATGTGTTGCATAGGCTGCTTCTTGGAGCCCAAGTGAGATTTGGGCGAGAGGTAACATTGAGGTGGCGGGTGCCTGCTCTGTACGGCTAGCGGGAAGCGTTATGTAAATACGATGTAAGGGAGAAGCTGCCTTCGGATATCGCTTGTGGATTTGTAGGTTCTTCCTTGTAGGTCAACTGTCCTGCCGCTTGACTGGGAGAGCCAAGTTCAGCTTGCATCGTCTGACATTACTGGAGCAGGAAAACCTTTGCTAGACTCCTGAGTATTTGGATACCTTCTTTGGTATAACTTAGTGTATTGCAGCGCTGTGGAGGAGCGAACCTTGATGAGTGGATGTAACAATCTTAGATGAGTAGGCAATCACGGGCTGCATTGGCTCCCTTGGACTTCTGAGCAGGCAAACAATCGCCTTGTCTGAACTTTGAGAGCTGCCGCAGATGGAAGCCATGTTTGTGAGTGTACATGAGAGTCTCCGGCTCTATTTTCTATGATGCTAACTTCAAAGCTTCCATCATCAACCTCGGGTTATTTGTTCGGGACTCTTCGTTTTGAGTACTTGAAACCGTCACAATGGGTGCTGTGTGCCCAGTCGAAGAACCTGGTGATGTTTCAGCGTTAGGTTGAGGTTTGGGCTCGAGCAGCGGACTACTAAGGGTCCACCGTAGAAAGAGGCCCATCTGACGTTGGCTACAATTTTCGAAATCGTAGAATTGGCTATATCGGACTTTAAGCCGCTGCTCCTCTAGAGCAACATGGGCCTGGATAAGGCGTGCGAATCTACCAATTATCGAGACAAGGACCAGCTACAATCGCCTTCCATTAGCTTTTGATATGATGAATAAAGTCGAGAGAGAGGGCAGTAGCAGACCGGAACAACCACAGCTCGTTGATTTCCTTTTTCTCGCATGGCAGCTATCATCATGCCTGTCACGATCATCATCTCACTCCAGGTGAGACCCGTCACGTCCGGGATAGCAGCTCTGGAGACACATGATCGATGTGGAAAGCCTTCTGCTGCAAAATGATCCTCGATGCGCCAGTCGAACTGGAGTCTGGGATTCAAGGTGTAGCCAAGTGACCGAGACTCTAGCAGACGCATCTGGTACCTGCTCTTGTGACTGCAGCAAGACGAAGTTAGATCAAGGTGGAGTACAACGCTGGTTGACCCAACCTACAATCGTGGCTGCCAATGACTGCCTTGCTACGCGTGCCAGACGCTCTCGTCGTTGCTATTGTAGAGTTGGTTTCGGTATGCCATGTGAACGGTGTCGGCATCATCGTAGCCCCATATCCCCTCCGTACCTGAACAGGGGTGTAGAATGTGCCAATTAGCGCTGTCGATCACTGCGGGGAGGCTCAAAATGTCAATAAACACCCTATTTGGGCCAGTTGAGGCCGTATTATCTAGCAATTGACTCCAATTGAGTGATGATATTGTGCCCAGCACTCTCCTTCGATACAGAGCCAAATCTGGCATTTTGAGCACTCATAATGAGTGTGTGAGCCTCCTAAAATAGCCGTAGAAATGCCATTATTGGCTGAGCGTGTAGTATCTGTTCCAAATGCGCGTTTGGGTGCCCTTTTACGTGTACAGCCTGGCGGATGAAGCTTTCCCCATTGACACCGTCCGCCGGACTTCTTTTGTATGGGTTTGTGGTGTCTTTGAAGTACTATAGTTGGTAGAGATTGTGAATCCTCCTTCTCCTTGGTTTTATTATTCGAATAGAGTAATTGAGAGGAGAGAGCCTTTATGAACTCTCTATGGCTATTGTGCGTATGCTGTGCGTTTGCTATGTGCGTTGGAGAGCTCCATAGCCATAGCAAATACGCATTAACACGAGCAACGTCAATGAGGAAGTAGATCAAGGGCATCTGCGTACGATAACTTTGCTTGCGATGGCAAGTAAACGCTGCTCGTAACTGATCAGCTTGATCTACCCCCTTCATATGATGGTTATAGTCATCAATAGCCTTTAGAATAAAGAGATCCTTGAAGGGTAAGCCCTTAAATACAGGGTCAAGGATACGTCGATTTTCGGAGGAGATTTTAGGGCATTTGCGCGTTCGTTGGATTCGATCTTCTGTGCGGTGGAGGCTATGAGCAGTCGTAATAGCACAAACAGTCTTATTATCTTGCCAAATAAAGGCTAGGGTATTGTTATCAATGACTTGTGCTATTGTAGAATCCCAGAGAAGCTCGCTATTATTATTGAGATAGCGTTGAAGTTGTAGGGGCACACCAGTAGCCTTTTTTCGTGTAGTTCCTATGCAGTAAATACCCATCGCCAGGAGGCACTGAGCCACTGGTACATTCAGAAAGAGGTTATCAAGATGGATACAGAATTTCTGCTTTGGTAGCTGTGTAGCAAGGCGTAAAACAAGCGCGTGAGTTAGCGCAAGAAGAGCGCTTTTTTCAGTATCTGAATTTACTTCTGTGCCCTGTTGTTGTGGCCATTGCGTTTGTTGACTCTTTGCAAACGTTTCAACGCCATCTATTCTTGAATGAAATAGCCAGCTCCAGATATACCCATGGTCGCCAATACACCATAGCTTGTAGCCATCAGAAATTGGCTTATTCTTGAGCTTAACCGTATGATTTGAGCGCCCCTCAAAAGCTACCATTGCTTCATCAATTGTGATATGAGAAGAGGGTAAATAGGCATTTCGGCAGGCTGTTCGAATAAGGTCTGAAACGCGTTGAATTCGATAGAACCAAGGGGCATTTGGCTGCGCAGGGGCAGCATTTAAGCTGAAGAATCGATGGATCAATTGGAATCGATCTCGATTTATAAACTTGCCTAATTTGTGAATCTTCCAGTAGTCACTGCGTACTGCCAATTGATACAAGCCAAAATAGATATGTATGCCTAGATATACACGTATTTCAGCGGGTGTAGTAGGTACCCAATGGCAGTTTTCTGAAAGGGTAAAAAGAGGGTCGTGAAGATGGGATTCGGCGTAAGAGTTCGTTTCTTCGGAGATGATTTCCACTACAATTGGGCTAAAAAAGAGCTCAAAAAAGCCTAATTCTGATAGATCAGAGTATTGAGAGGATCCTGCTCGATTTTGAACGTAATTAGCCTCAAATTGAGGCAGTTCTGTTGGTAATAATGTAGGCAGTTCATTCGTACATTCCGACGCAGCTTCGATCACTGCCAAGGCCTGATCAACATCATTTCGATCGATCGCCACAGGGTCAATTCTTCGTCGTTTTGGCTGGTTATGAGCTTGTTCAGATCGGGGAGGTGAGTTTGACCTATATCTCAAAGGAATTTGAGTAACTCGTCGTGGTCGTAGCATAATTAGTTATAAGAAATTGAAAAGCGAAGCCAGCTGCGGAACGCTGCGTAGATCAAATGCGGCTTAAAAAAGCTTAATTTAGGCATTTTACGCTAATTGGCACATCAGGTACGGAGGGGATAGAGTTTGACCATTCCTCATCGAATGTAATGGCAAACTCGGGTCGTTTATTCAAGCTATCCATGCATTCTTGCGACATGGGCAGAAAATAGGGGCCTCCTCGTTCTGTTTCATTTTCCAGATCCATCTGGACGTGATCGACAGCCAGTTTGTAGAGCACCTCGTCCGTGAGGTGAGCATCGAGCATGCTTGAGAGGTGGTTGAACGCTTTCTTGAGCCTGTCATAGACCTCTAGTCGCACGCTGCTGGTACTTGTCGACATGTCAATGGACATTATGTAGTGCTCTGGTCTATCGGCTTCTCATTGAGGTCGACCAAACTTGTACGGAGTACTTGTAGCCATTGTTTATCATCCGTCACTAACTAGTTAGACTACAAGCACCGGCTGACTCAGCCGGCCGCCCATCAGGACACGGATGATCAATCTCTACGGAGTACTCCGTAATCACTCCGTCAAAAGGACAGCGCTAACTTAATGGGCTTCTGAACCGCACTTGATTATTTTTCGTTCCTGAACACCATCCGCGTCACGATCAGTTCAATCTTGGCTGATGGCAGGATTCCGTTGAGGCTCCAGAAAAGAAGCTTGAATACTACAGGCTGCTTCGATGACCAGCATACGCAGTTGATATCAAACCTTGCCTAAGAGGGTTGTTCATCCGTTGTATCTTGGACTTGAATGTGTACTGACCCTTGCTTCATTAATCTGGCTGGGAATGGTTTTGCACGCTTCTTCAATTGCGTGTACATTGTGCATATCAAAGTCCAGTCCAGGTTTGTGCACTTCAACTATCCAGAACATCGAGCCACACCTTTATATTTGGTTTCTATGACAATGCTGTACTTGAGCGGCCTAACGTTAGTCATTGGAAGTCACAAGGCTCGCAATCAGCCTAACTCTGCTCGCTGATCACCTTGAGTCCTTTCCCACGTCTCCTGCTTGTTTATCGAGAGTATGCTTGGGCAGCTGGCTACTCTTGCGCTTCCCGCAGCCAGCGAAGATGGCATACAGGATTTGACGCTGGCCTCATGTCAGAAACAAATTTGCACCGTGTTCCGTCTAAGGTTGTTTCATGTGCCACCAACCTACAGCTTGCTACATACTCCACATTGAGGTGATTAGACGCCTGCGTTTGTATTACTAACCGTGTGCTCTCTGCTTGAAACCTCTCAAGCGTACTAGCATGCCATTAACCTGCCAGAATACGCCGCCTCAATTATTGCCAACATTAACGTTGCCTAAGCTCACGTACTCATTGTCAAGCACCTCAGACTTTGCTAAAGAGAGAACATGCCACTTAGCGTGCCTAAAACTGACTCTTGGGTAAGGAAAGCGCCCACATCTGGCATCGAGTTGGCAGCGGCGGTGATCGAAACCTAAATCCGCTCGTGCAACAGCGAGTGCTTTAATGTGAATTGTTTTCAAACACGTCTACCGCACGTCGCCTGTTTTGTTGGACACAGCACGATGTTCTCGCTCAACAAGCCTAGCTCGATGCTTGACTGGAGTTGGCCAACCCCTTGAGGTCTGGCCTACATTTTCGGCCCAACACTGGTTGTGCTTCATGCCAGACAAAGCTCGTCTGGGCCACATGGCCGCCTCCGTACAGTTCGTGAGTGTATGGGTACTTAATACTCCAATGTGCACGTCAGATTGAAGAAGCAGAAATACGATAATCAAGACCCCATAACTTGCAATCTACCACTCACTCAACTTGATTACATCATGAGCACGAAATACAATGGTAGCCTACCAGAGGACCCTAGCGACTGGAATGCGGCGCTTGTCAAATACCCCTAAACGTCTAGTGTTCATGAGCTAGAGACCGCTCGGTCTGCTTCCGAGATCACTGTCGAACAGTTCATCTCTCTCAAAGTTCTATGGCCGCCACGTCATAAAGCAACAGAGCTGAGCACTGACAATATAGCTAAGCTCTATGGCTCGAGCACAGTGGCGCTTCAGGCTCTGAAAAACGAGACATGGAGGAATGACCCATCATGGAAGGCATACCTGACGGCCATCACGGCCTCACAAGCAGTCGGAGCTTTTGGATCCAAGCTCCGGAGAACCATGAAACTGTCCCGGGATCTTGGCGTGTACGCCTTGGTTTTACAAGCTCAATTGGAAGCTTCAGAGATACCAAACTCTTTCGACGAGTCGCGCAGCCTTCGATTTACACCAAGATACAACATGCGCCATGGGGCTAAGGGTGAACATCATGATTTCCAGGGTAAAGGCAAAGAAAAAGAGGCAAGCCCTAAGAGCCAAGGCTCCCAACATCCTTCTGAAACGTCCGAAGTCTCTTCCGGGGCTCGAACCATCTCTCCCACTGCGCACGCAGAGGCCCACGATTTTCCAGTTGGTGACGAGCAAATTGTCAACACCGCAGCTACAAATTTCTTGAATGCCCTGTTCATTCACGACGCACGCCCAGCAGATTGGACTTTACAAAGGAAACAGTTCAAGTTCAAATCAGATTCCGTCAACTTCGAGGCCCGTACGGACGGCCATTTGCAAGTCCATGGTCACAAGAGGTCCGCGGCAATTCTTGAGGTAAAGCCGCGTGTACGCTATCACGAAGAAGGCTTCCGCATTGAGATGCAGGAGAGTGCACAAATGGCATTGTGGATCTTTCAGGAGCCGAATAGTCACTGGGCTCCACCAACTGGAGGCGATAAGTACTAGTGAGTCCTTTTTCCTGATCTGGTAGTTGCCGCTCGCGGCTAATCACAGTTAGTCGTGTCCTTATCTCCCCAGACCGTCAGGAGATCTACGTGACTATTGCGAACTATACGGCGAAGTACGTTGACTACCTACAGAACAAAGTGAAGTTCGAGCATGCAGATTTCCTTCGAATGAATATGTACGGACCCTTCCATACAACAGACAGTGGGCACATGGCTTGGCTCGGTGCTATCTTGCGGAAACTGCTACCCTACGCCGCTGCTTATAGACCTAGCCGGCAGTTATCGCCCTCACAGCTTCCACGTACGCCGTCACCACCTACAATCCCTCTAACAGATGAGAGGAGGGGCAGGGCACCAGGCCCGCAAGCAGAACCGCCCGGCATTTCGCAACGTCGAACAACATCCTCACCGCTAAACCCGCGTTCCAAGAACAGCTCTCCCCCCTCCTTTGAGCATGAGGACCCCAGCAGACTCTTGTTCGGGGGCCTGGCGATAAGCGACAATCCTCGGAGTTCTTCACAAAGTCAGTCACCCCAGCGTCCGGGTATTTCTGGCACCCAGGAGGCCGCCTCAGGCCGGACTTTGAGCCCATTCAGATCGCCACCCCGAGCAGGACATGCTGCAGCCTCTGGAGGCGAACAAAGCACCAGACCGCAAGGAGGCCAGCCAGGGAGTCAGCTGAGCAGAGAGCAGGGGGATAAGAAGGGAAAGAGGAAGAAGTAGTAAGTGAGGTGCTCATAAGTGGTCGGGGAGCGAATCAGCATTTTTAGCATAGGACTTGGGATGGTTCATAGGGAGTGTTTTCATGAATTGGCTTCTAGATCTGCACTTGATGATTCAGCCTTCTCCTTGGTACGACAACAAGCAAAGCCAGAGAAGCTGGGTGGGAGGTTTGAGGAGTGGTCATTTTTCTATATTTTATTCCCTACATAAACGTTCACCTCAACACCAAATCGTCGAGATAGAGAGTCGTAGCAGTCTTCTCCATAAGCGTTTGAAGAATGTGTGATGGAGAGCACTAGTAGTACGACGGAGATTTCGCTTGAATGCCTTCTCAAACCCGAGACAGCAGGTGCTGACTATCAACATTGTCTCTATTCCCACTTTCCATCTTCTCCGTATTTCCTGAAACGCTGTTTCGCATTTGCATCGCAACTCTACTAAGCTACACCTGGATCGGGCAGTCCCTGCACAAGCGCCATTGACTCCACATATCAAAAACAGGCATGGCATCTCTATCTCCATATCCCTCCGAAGGCCCTTTCACACGCAACGGAGCTCGTCCGAGGAATCCCCAGCTGATCACTCCACCACTTACCAGGGCACCCACCGGCCATCCTTTGCCGTGTTTAGGATGTCATTCTCTGGCTCCCGTTCATCATGCATGTGCCACGTCCACTCATCACCACGCTCTTGTACGTAATTCACAGACATCGGGTTGAAAGCAGGTCTCGCTCTGAGGCGCTCTGTAGAGGCAGCAGCTGCCTCATACTGCTCTAGCTCTGGCAGCAGCGCACTACCCATCTCGCATCTCGCATCTCCTGTGGATGAGACACCACAAGTTCCACACGCAGAGCAGGCTCCAATTCGCGAAGCGTTCCAGTCGAGCCCACGATGCGGCAGGTCCGGGAAGGTCGTCGAGAATGTAGCCGAACCACAAGGTCCCGGTATCTTCGTCTGAGATGGCCCATCTCGTCGTCTGTTTCGTCGTGCAGGTCGGAGACCACATGGATTGTGGAGAGGGCTTTGAGCTGGATGCCGCTGATTAGCTACGTGAGCATGTCATGCTTTCCATCGAAGAAGCACTTGACTTCGATTGATGTGTCGTGGCTCATCATCAAGGGTAGCTTGTCAGCCAGACCCTGGTGTAGGGTGCCATCCGTATGCCACTTTCCCGGAGCGGAATCAAGAGCATTGGATCTCGATTTCTGGGAAGCGCATGGCATGACATGACATGGTGCAATAGATCTATGAAGCAGCACGGTTTGTTCCAGATCAGAGTTAGTTAGGTTAGGTCCCACCGAAGGTTGAGGGAGAACGAGACCCGACCCGACCATTGTGAAGCTCCGAGGTTTATTTTCGGGTGCGTGATTGATGGCTTGTACGCAGAATCGCAAGCGCTGTTTTTTTTGACGTGCGCCAAATGTCAACAGGTCTACTTTTCGAGAAACAATTCTTGCTAGATGAGGATTCGGAGCTCTTTTGGTAGCTGGAAGAATAGTCCGAAGGGTGTCGTAACCTCATGTGAGATACTATCTATAAGAAACCAAAATTTCATGGTTGTAGCATGCTTGAAGTTGGAGAAGCTGCCATCAGGTCGAGGTTGTCTGGGGCGGAGAATCTTTTGTTAAGGTATGTCTGCTTGGAATGTCACGGAGTGAAGCCAGGAGAACGAGGAGATCTGAGAAGTATAGATCTCGGATGGAAAAGACGCACAGTATAAGGCTGGCAGGTTGTGACTATGTGGTGTCGAGCCAATGTTGTTGGTCGGGGTACCTTGCATATTCGGTTTGCCTGTCACTGTGAACTTGGCAATTGCCTGAAACTAGTGCTGCAGTACTGTACTTTGTGACATGGCTTTCTGTGACATGGATTGTGTGGCAACGGATAAATCCTTTTGAAGCACGATAGGTTGGCGATAGGCTACCGAAACAAAAGTAACACTAGTTAGACTGTTCATAGAAACGTTGACATCTGAGAATCGTAAGCATAGCGATACACTTTGCTCAAACCAGAACTTTAAGACTCGTGTCCAGATAATCCTGGCACCTAGTTTCGCTTTGTACGGTTGCACAACCAACTGGCCATTCCATTGCAGCATATCCACCCCAGAAATCCAACTCTTAATGCTTTGTAGGCACAAATCGGCTCCACCTCCCCTCGCTATGCTGATAAGTATCTGGAGTGAAAGCAGCCTTCATCTTCCGTTGATGGTTCAGCCTTAAATATCCCCACGCATAAACCGCCACATACAAGACCATAAGTACCGCCTGTGCCACACTGGTGATCCAGCTGCTCGTCTGAATATCACAATACCTCTTAAAGTTGATCACCCTCTCAAACGCCTTCTGAATGTTCATTGCCCTTTCGTCGCACGTCCAGCCCCAGAGGTCATTGCCGTCCTTGCCGGTTCGATAGGCAACCGCGACCGCGATCCACATTCCCACGTGAGCGGCGAAGATGCCAAAACCTAGGTAGGAGCCATATTCATGGGCGGCGTTTGCGGCGTGGACGCCTCGGACATAGGAGGCCATGACGACGGCAGAGATGATAAATGATAGGGTAGAAGTGACGAGGAGGACAGTGGTGGGCCAAGTCTTCGTCTGTCCGGCCCAGGGACCGCGAGGACCCGTGGGGCCGGGCACGTCGATGATAATGTGGCGGGTGTTAAAGTATTTGCGAAAAGTGAGAGACATGGTTGCAATCATATATAAAGCTAGGAGGAGGGTGGCAAGGCGAAGGATGAATTTCAAAAGTCGGATGCGGTGTTTCATAATCTAAAAGATTCAAAGGTTAGCACCGCTTTGAGAAGTGGTCAGGTCACTCTCAAAAAGGTAATTGCGGTATGCGGCATGTTCAGGTGTCTCACAGCATCTTCCTGTTTCATCTCGTGGAAGCTTCTGACCTCTTCGAGGCTTTTGAAAGGGCCAGGTGAAGCTTGGGACGAAAACCCGGGAGACGAGAAGTTTGGAGATGGGTAGCCAGCCTCCATGCTGAGACCGCTGTTGTGACTTCCATCTTGGGCTTGATGAGTGACTGGAAGATAGTGAACATCTGGAAATCCCTTCGGTTGAGCATAAGGTGAGGTAGGCATCTTTGGGGAGGCGAAGGAGTCTGCGAGTAAGTCATGGAAAGACTTGTCGTCCACGGGCGAGAAGTTGAAGGGCAGTAGCAAGCGAGTGACTTGAAGAGAAATGATATTATCAACGCATGGGCAGGGAGATGGTCATAGAGATGGTCCTAGAGATAGTGCCTGAAGGATAGCAGATGGCAGAATTTGTCAAAAAAAAAAAGATCATGCTCCGAGATCCGAATACGAAGCTGAAGTGAGGCCCGGAGGGATTTGTCAATTCTACTTAGACGACCATAGATAAATCAGACGTTGGCTGAGGCGGGCAGCGCTTTGCGGCACTTGGCACCTGGAATATCGCCAAGGGTGCGGCGCAAGAGTGGCGACTAACAAGGCCCATCATGGCTAAAGGATCCGAGGGGCGTTGGTTGCGTTATTCAGCCGCTCAGTGGCCCACTAGATTTCCTGGTTTCAGCGAAGAAGCTGATCCATTTTGTATGAGGTGGTAGTGCGGAAAGACCGGCTTGTGCGATACTACTATGTAGTATGTATGTCGTTGCATCTAGGTTGCAGAGGTGGGAACTGAAGCAGCATCAAGCAAAGTGCATGAACTAGTTCATATGTGGAATAGCGAGCCCTCCCTGTCCTTCGTGGTTCGTCCTGCGGCCGTTGTCCGTTGTCGTTGACCGTTACTGTCTATCGTCTTCTGTCTTCTGTCTTCGGTTCCGCGCCATCTGCCGGCTCGAGGCTGTTTAAGATCGAGTGGACTGCATGAACGTTGTATGGTGCACCTACAATTGGGCTCGTGAAGCAACTTCGATACCTTCGCCTGTGGAGGATGAGAACTCCAACTCAAAACCAATGAAAATCTCGGAGGGACAGAAGCAGGGAAGACAATGTTTAAACAGGAGAGAAGGCATTATGTGTTGACAGGTAATGGGTATCATTTCGCTATGCTAATAATGTAGAGGAATGCCGCTGGGCTCTCTCTTGGTGCCACTCTGTGGACTTGTTATAATACTCCGGTCCCAATGCAAAACTTTCTGTCGCTATGCTTGCCCGAAAAATGCTCATCATCATGCGTCGCTCATGTCGCTAGGTCGTGTCATCTTACGGGGAAAAAACGAATAACAGGAATTAAATCAGATTGCCCGAGATGCGGACATCGCTGCCCATCGCTTTGCTCCTCTTCAATGCCTTGGCCAGCATGATCTCACGCATCCAGTCAATGCGTTCATCTCGTGTCTGCACAGAGAAATGATGGCTTTTCTTACCCTCACCGAAGAACTGACGTTTGCCGTCCGCGGGGATGAGAGAGAAGGCAAAGGCTTTTTCCTCCATAGACCCCTTGCCTGCACCGCCAAGGATGGACTTCTTGAAGGCAGTGCTGAGCTTGCTGGAAGAGGCAAGGCTCGAGACGGCGACAGCGTACTCGTCAACGTCGATTCGCTCCAGAGCAAGACTGTCGCGCTTGGCCGCAGCTTCGTCCTTGTGCATGGCTAGCTGGGTCCCTTTCAACGTAAAATGATGGTCCTGCCATTCGTGGCGAACGAGCTTGGTGGTCTTGCGCTTACGCATGGAACCAGAATGGGCGAGGCCAGAGATGACCTCAGCTTCTGGAAGGCTGGCAGAAGACGCAAGGTGACAGGGGCCAGTACCGGGAGACTCAACCAGGGGGGCGATGCTAGGTACAAATGAGGGCTGACGGCGATGGTGGCGGGGTTGGGTGGATTGTGGTCGCTGAAGGGGTTCAGCGATGGGTGGAGTAGGGACGCCGCCATAGCGCATGTTGGGTGGGACTGATTGAGAGGTTTCGCGGTCCAGAGGATCAACAGGCATTGCTGTGACGGGAACGTCTGTGGCGGAGAAGGCTGTGTTGACGCGGTAAAGATCGACAGGAGAAGCTATACCACCATAGTGGTAAGGATAGTTCTGGAGCTCGACCTTTGCATGATGGCGAAGAGCTGAATTCGGGGTTCTGCTCCGGCGTGCAGGAGTGGCCGAGCGGGGAGTGAGGGGTGTAAGGGCAGGAACTTCGGCCGGAATAGTAAGCCTGGGCAGGTGCCGCAGATTCTGGGACAGGTTCATGGTTTGCTGGGGTGGCTGTGACGAGGTTTCCACGTCCACGTGTTGAAGATTGAGGAAGTGACGGACGTTCTCCTGGGGATCACGCGGTCGAACTTCGCCGAGGGTCTCTGGTGTGAGGCTGAGGGTAGGGAGTTGGCTTTGTCCAAGGACATCAGAGGAGGCAACAATCGATGGTACGACTTCTGAGGTTGGTCTGATGACTGAACTCTCAGTCTGAATCGGGTACTCTTCTCGAAGTCTCTGAAGCTTTCGTTGTTGCCTCTGCCACTTCGAGCAGTTCTCACCCTTGGAGCACTTGTGTGGTTTGGGGAGGAGCTGCTCAATAGCAACGATCGAAACAGACTCGGCAGGAGAGATATCGTCCGAAGTCTGTTGGCGCTGTTGTCGGGCACGGCGACGAGACGAAGAGCTTGAATGAGAGGACGAAAGGACAGGAGAGGCGGAGAGCATGCTGCTGTTTCGGAGATGCTGAATCGAGCTCATGACGAGATGTCGCTTGCCGTAGGAGGTGATGTCAAGTTCTCGGAGATCTTCGAACTGTAGATCGAGAAGAACGACACCAGAGATGTCGTGGATGAGGAATTTCTGGACAACGCTGCTGTCGAAACCGGCATCGCGCATCCAGCTGGCCACTTGCCGAGGGGACCACGTTCGGACTTGGGACTCGTCAAGCTCAGCAACAGCATTGTTCAGCGAGGTCAAAGGCCGATTCTGCTGCTTCGGTGTGGTGTCGTGGATTGGAGACATGCTTAGGTAGAAGTCTAGATCTTGTGATTGTGCAGTATTGATCGACTCTATTGACGAAGCTCGGAAAAGATGCGGTCCGGTTGGGCCTTTGGTGGTTGGCTTCTGGTCCAAGTGAAATTCGAAGCCCTCGAGGACTGCCGAAGCTGGCGTTTGTAATCCATCTGATACTGTGGTTTGGCTATCGTTGTCCATCGACTCCATTGATAACGGTGATGATTCGTCATCCTCAAAGTCAGTCTCGATATCAGTCGCTTCGGACAATGGACGCGGAACTAATGACCTTCTGCCTAGGAAGGACAGGTTCTTGGAGCTCTCCAACATCTGCATGTTGGATAGCCGGCACTCCATTGCTAGAGTTGTGTGTTTATATATTCAAGTGCTCTGCAAGCTATGAAGAATAGTAATGCAATCGACCGTTGCCAGTCAAGTAAAGAATCTGAGTATGGAAATAGTGGAATGTGGAGAGACAACCAAGCGGTGGTTCAGAATGGGCGGTACATGGCATAACTTATGTATCCCACAAGCAGGAAGCGCTTGTACCCTGAGATAGAGCTCTTCTGGTGTGATGTGATGTGAAACGGATTTTGCATGGGTGCCAATTAACAGACGTGCAGCATCTGGGGCGGTAAATTGCGCGCGGAATATGCAGGCACTCTACCGGAAAGAGTATGGTGACTTCGTTGGGGGCAGTAAGCCTATGTGCAGCCTCTGGGGCAGGGCGACCATGATTGGCTTCTAGAGGTGAGACCCTTTTTTCTTTAGCTGGTGTTGCTGCTTCTAAATTTATTGTGATTTTTCTGACCAGAAATAGACATAATTAGGGATCTTCCATCACATCTTGGCAGTTTCCAGCCACCCAAACTGCACGCTGGCCCAATCAGCTGTTTCCTTGACTTCTTTTACTCTTCTGCCGCCGGGGAATTTACCCTCCATTAGCTCTCCTATTGACTTCTGACTGCTCCGTGCAATTTCGATCCGTACAGGCTCTTCTCCAAGCTTATCAAGTAGTGCCTAACGAGCCGAAATTCCTTAAACCTCTTGGTCTAGTCTGGTTTCTTCCGATGCAATCTTTCTCCCCTGTGCCAATAAGATCTCAGAGATACGGAAATAACAAGAAGGCGAAGAACGAGATTTCCATCTGGCAAAGTGGGTCACTATAGTAAATTCTCGAGGACTCTTCTCTGAATCTCTTGATCTTACGAGAACTTGAGAGGGCAATGTCGTTACCCCATAGCTAGTCAGTAAGAGGTAGAGATAGTCCTAGTCTGAAGCTGCATCCGACGTGGTCTAGAGTTTCCCCACTTGTGACTCGAGAACACGATCTCACTTATTCTCCCGTGTCACTGCAGGGTCTTCGAGCCCTTGATTGGCGTGTAAGCGGTTATCCGTTATGAAAGATGTTGGCCATGCAGCTGTATCACCTCGCAGGACCGTAGTACATGCTCATCACTCTGAGCTTGAGCACAATTGATAAGTGTGTGTGAGACGGGGAATGCACAACGATAAGACGCAATGTGGAATTCTCATTCAACCAGACGAAGCTCTGTAAAGCTTTGGATTAGGCCTCAACATGGCAGAGAATCTAGTACTAGGACATGCTGCATATACTGATTGTCGTACTGGAATGCTTTCTATGATTATGAGGGAGTCACATATCAAGAGTCTACCACATGCCGTGTTGTATGCAGTTACTTGCACAGACCATCGAAATATTGCTTCAATCACAATATCGTCCTTCTGCAGCACATGCTTTAAAGCTGCAATGTACCTTACTAAAATCCCGATGCCACGGAGGTTGGGCACAGAAACAGTGCGGGCGGCCACTGGAGCGTGATGTTCAACTTTACAATAGGGAATCAAATGATCGAGGCTTAGGTGGCCATGAGTGCTTGATCAAATCGTATAAGGACATGTGTCTCGGAGGCAAGTAGAAAAATTTTGTCGTAAGTTTTCATCCGCCTGTTGAATTCTCAACCAGATGAGTGGTCTCATAGAATGACAGTCAAGCCAAGGTGTCGGTACTCACAAAGTTCACCCAAAGTTCCCCGGAAGCCTGGCATGGGACGCAGGTTTCCTGTAGATGGTAATGACCTAGAGAGAGCTCCATCCATGTCGGATTGTTGAGTGCATTCTTCCCTGCGGGTTGCCACTGCACTGGTTTTGATCTTTGGGACTTGCAGCAGAACCAACTCTAATAGACTAAGCAGCTCTTTAGAGGAAGATTGGCTGCCTCTGTCATCTGCCAAACCATTCTCAACCACTCGAGAACTCAGCACGACTCAGCATGATATTAGGCGGGAAGAGGAAGTCGTGTGACCGTAAGACTTTGGAAATTAATGCTGAGAACAGCCTCAGCTGGCCTGAAGCACAACCCGTTGGACACGCAATGCTTGTTGATCAGCACGGATCACGAGTCACTGATACGGTAAGCTGAGCGTAACAAATGCCGGGGGGGTTGGTACCAGAGACCTCATGACCTGAGCCGCGGCAGCAAAAAACGTTCCAGACAAGAGGTACCTCCAGACTCGGAAAAATGTGGATCCAGCCACACCTAGCAGCCCAGAGCGAGGGAAAAGGCTTAACTTACTACTTCTACGTAACTCACTAACTTACCATCTTAAGGCGGGATGGTCGCAGTACTAAGGTGCTGTCTTGGAGCTTGATCTAGCAGGTCAACACAGCGGGTCGTGATGGGCTAATTATGGCAACATTAACTTTTATTTTATCAAGGACAATATGCATTAATTTGCCTTGATTTATTCTTAGTGATTTGACTTCTTGAGAGCTTGGGTCAGCGGCAAATTATGCTCATTCTCAAACAAGTAATAGGCTAATTTGGATGTCAACTCCTGCTAATTAGTGATCTATCTTTGGGAACTCTTGGGACATTAAGTGTTCGGGTATGGGGCTAATTAATGCAAAGATTAAGAATCTTGGTCCAATACTATGAATGAGGCTAACGCAGCTAAGGTCATGGCATCACGGTTGGCTGCAGCTTGCCCGTACCTGCGCGCCATCACAAGCTCGAGCCAGCTCCTTCTGCCAAATGACAAGCGAGATCCCGCAGCTTGGCGTTTTAGTAGGCTTATCGATTGAGTGCGGCCAGCCACTTACCATGCTAGATAGCGAGCAGCATGACCGGGCTGAAAGTGAATCATTGTTCTTGAAGTTCCTTTCGGGCCAAAAGCTATGGTCTTTGTACTCCACCCCTGACTCGCTTGCATTGTCGAATCCCCACTAGCCGTAGTCTCAATGGTAAGCTTGACAAAGTCCTTTTTCGACGTAGGTGAGATGAGACAAGATCAGGAGCTGATGATGATCGTCAAGCATGAAGGGAAGGGTTCAGATCGAGCAATGCTTATATGCTGCCTTGCTGGTTCGGTCGTCGTTATGGATTTTCAGAAGGCGCAGGACGTTAGGGTTTCGCTAGACGGTAGCACTAGGGACGCTTTGACCCCTTCTGGGTCCTGATGAATGCGCATGTCATACTTTCACCCACTACTACGAGAGCCTGGCATTTACAGCTCTTTGGCAAGAGTGGCAGCTGTTGAAGCAGGGTCTTTACTTCACCTTTCCACATGCGATTTTCTTGCGGAACCGACCTCCAGTCTTTTGTGGACACGGTACCAGATGGCAAGGTATGGGTCATCGCGGTAGTGCTGGTCCACGACTCCTGGTGTGGAGACTGACCTCTGCCCAGCTTGGCTAGAACCCTGGTCTGGGCTTCGGAATGATGTTTCCCTTCTCTCGTCATCTCTTGCACCCTGGAAAGAATGGCCCGAGGTGCATGTACATAGCGGTGATTGAGCAAGGGTACACTGCAGCATCAGCATGGACTGGAATCGTTGTGGCCGGGGTCATTTATAGCTAGCCGCCCAACCGCCAGTCAGAACGTTCAGAACGTTTGCACCGGGTGTCACAACAGATTAAGCAGCTAAATCCTGACCCCGGCTGCCGAGCTCATCCCTGCTTCATCAATGCGCTAAACTGGACTATCGAACTCCTCCAAACCTTGTTGGACGCATCTCACGGCGCCTCCAGCAACGAGCAAAAGGAAACAAAAATAGGAAGAACCATAATGGGCCAAATTGACAGCCACTGTGAGCATGTCATTCCTCTTCACGGTCAGATATCTGACTTGCATCCAATCGGCCTGCACCTGCTTTTCTTTCATAATCCTGTTCCACCCTAGTGTCATCTCCCCCACTGGCATTCACCTAAAATAGATCGAGTACTCTCCTCCCAGTGTTTAGTCCTTCAAACATAAACACTCCAACTTCCCAAGCTCGTCCATTCATCACATCGCAAGACCGTCCCCTACCTCGCTGGACCTATCTCTCTTCGTTTCATAGACTGCGAAGCCTGCTGGTCCGGCTTGCGCTTACTGCTTCCGTAATATACAGCGAACTGGCCTTGCTCATCTTCCTTTGTTGTGTCGCGGATATCGAACTCCTGTATCATCTCATTATTTTTGGCTTAGCTAGAGTGGTTTCCAAGAATCCAGACAGATGACTTTCGAAATGTCAGCCCAATCGGCCACTTCATCTACGAAGCCTGCTGGCATGTCAGCGCCCAAGTCATCTCCAACGAAGATGGCCTCGAAGATGCACCGCAGATCACGCTCGGGTATGATTGATCTCACGAAGTTGGAGCTTCCATGGCTTCCTTGTGTTGCTCGTGTATCTACATATTTGCTGACCAAGCAATCAGGTTGCTTCACCTGCCGACTCCGAAGGAAGAAGTGCGACGAAGGCAAACCCAAGTGTAAAGCTTGCAAGCATCTTGGCCTGACCTGTGAATACAAGAGACCGATGTGGTGGAGCAACAATGATCAGAGAAGAAGACAGAAGGAGGATATCAAAAATATCATCAAGCGGACCAAGCTGTCCGAGAAATCGTCGACTCTCCAACCACACTGCACGATTCCGACGCCACCTGGTCTCACCTACTCTGTGCCTACCTCGGACGGCTTCTCCGATGGGATAGGAAGAACACGCGCCACGTCAGAAGACTCTCAGGATTCCCTCGAGTATGATTTCGGCTACGCTCAACCACCAACACCTGCCATATACGATCCGCATGCATACAGCATGCACCCTGTTCACATCGGTACCAATGTACCTCCATACGCGCCGTCTTACCCCTATGAAGTCGACATTAAGACCGAGCGACAGATGTTTGTCAACGACATCCCAACCCGAAGGGACTCTTCGATATCTACGTTTAGCACCTTTCAACCTCCTGCGCCGCACACGGCATTGCCCTCTTTTCCTAGCGGCGATGACTGGATACAGCACGACTACTTCGAAACTCGACGAGATTCATGGAGCGGCGAAGAGGGTCTGGATTTCAATTTCTTTGACTTTTCGCACGGCGTTGTGCCGCACACTTCACAGCAAGCTATTATTCCTGTTGACGATTGCGACCGAAGGCTCCTGGACCATTTTGTCGAGAATGTGCTTCGCCTGATCTTTCCCATTCTTGAGGTCAATCAACACGGATCGGTGAAGGCAGAGGTGATTCTTCCAGCGCTCGAATCAAACAAGTGTTACCTACATTGCTGCCTCAGTATTGCTGCCATCCACCTAAAAGCAACGGAAGGAATCCAAACCGAGCAAATTGACAACGACATTATGCGACATCGTTACGAAACAGTCTCTGAGCTCTGCAAGGCCCTGAACCGCGACACCGACCATCTACAAATCCTTGAGGCCACTCTTGGCATGATCTTCTTTCAATGTTCAGTCGGCCGTCCAGATGATTGCCTGCCCGACATCCCTTGGCATCAGCATTTCCAAGCAGCCACAAGCTTAGTGCATAAATTGGAGTTGCCACGTATTGTGGAGGAAATGCCCGAAACGGGAGTGCATCCCCCATTCAATATGACCTTGACCTCCTGGATTGATATTCTTGGCTCGACAATGCTCGGACGCTCGCCTCAATTCGCCAATACTTATCGCACCAAGCATCTGACTGGCTCGACGTCTGGTCTATGCGAGCTGATGGGCTGCGAAGACCGGGTAATGTACCTGCTGTCTGAAATTGCATGCTTAGATGCTTTGAAGATGGAGAATCGGGTTGACGAGATCTCCCTCTGCACACATATCACCGCTCTTGCTCAACAACTTGATGCCACCGAATCTCACCATGACGCCCTTGTCACGCCCTTCTCTAACACCGGCGCCATCCGCCCACGCCAGCTCTCCAAGAATATGACAGCAGTTTTCCGCATTGCCGCTCGGGTCTACCTTTGCTCCCTCGTGCCGGACTACAACCGGTACCAACAAAGCACCATCAACCTCATCGCCCGACTTGCAGAGCTCCTCCACTTCATTCCTTCCGGTCCGGAAGGGTTCGACCGCTCCCTAGTCTGGCCCCTTCTGATCTGCGGCGCCTACTCCATTCCAACCAGCCCCTTCCGTCGTGTATTCGCCGAGCGGATCGAACGACTAGGAGAGCAGGCTGAATTCGGCAGTTTCGGCCGCATGGTGCGTCTGCTCCGTGAGGTATGGCGGCGCGCGGCCGATACGTTACTACCGACCTCTGCTACTTGCGAACCCACGCCAACATCAACCACATCAACGAGTGATACAAGATCGAGTAACAAGAATACACAGAACGTCCACTGGCGGGACGTGATGCAACAAAATGGATGGGATTTCCTTCTGATATGACAACGGGTACTTTGCACAACTCATGCATTTTCCGGCAAAATGCCTGTGCACAAGATTACACCCCTTGCTCTTTCTTGGAGGTTGCACTCCCTGACTTAGGTCTTTATCAAGATCTGTTAATTATTGTTGTCTATGACGACGAAGCCATCCATTGATTTGAAGGTATACTTTTTCTGGGAGAGAGTATCTGCAGAGCTGCATGTTGTTCTCCAACCTTTTGTTATTTGGTTTACACAACACTCGGCTCTCTGGAAGAGAAAGCGATCATTGCATGGCGATTGACGGTGGGTGTTCATGGCGGAATGAGCGCGCCGGGATCTGGTATCTGCGACGACTTCACCTTGCGGAACACGCACGCAGGAGTTTAGGATCGGGCTCACGGAAGTCACATTGGGGATCTTGCTTGGAATGGATGCGTATATATACCCTTTGAAAATAAGTCTTCTCTGTTGTTTGGTCTTGGAGATGAGCAGAACAAGAAGAGTTGACTGGGAGAAAAGACATACAAGGAGGGAATTTGGGACGACTACCTGAAGAATAGGAGTATCCTTGTCCAGGACTCGAATCTTGAGGATAGGAAGGACGGATATTGCGTATTGGGACGCTATGGGAACAATGAGGTTGGGAGTTGATTGTCAATGGGCTATACTTTCTATGGACCCACGTACATGATACGGCAGCGGAGGAGCCGCTACGCCTATCAAACAAACTTGAGCTGCAAAGCGACAATAAAAAAATCTCTGCAACCCAGTTGGCAAAATGAATTCGAATGTCGAATGTCACCCCTCAGGTCTTTTCCTGAATTTTGAGCAGTGATTCAATCAAATTAGATGCTAGTAGGCGCTAGTTTACTCACCCCGTCTATCCAGGCGCCAGTCGCATTGCGCAGCTACATACAGTCACGGATTCACGGTAGATATGGATGGCATCATCCAGGTCCGCTTTCAAACACCAGCTACGCAAGGCGTCGCCAGGAATTTGACGCTCGCAGCAAAAATAATGCTTTCAGGGCGATGGAATAGGATGCCAATGGATATTCAAGGATAGAAAAACGACCAAGCGATATATGAATACATGATACCCACACCGATCCAGATGACTGCTGACTACGTACTTGTACTTCGAATATCGATGGTTGGAAGGTCAACCGTCTAATCGCCCAAATTAGGAGCATCCCCACTCACTCACTTACGTGCTCACTGCCCCCTTGTGCCCTTAATTAAAGAAAGGATTACAAAGCTCCTCGGGGGGACAGGCCAACTCCCCGACTTCCTTCCTTCTTGTCTGTTCCTTTTTCCCAAAGTTTGACAATTGGGTCCTTGGGGCTGACTAATGATAAGACAAGTGGAAGACGCTGTTTCAGGTTTCTCTTGAGAGGTAAGGACTCGGTGGCCTGTCGTTGGGCCTGGTCTTGGAGGCTTGAGGGGCTGAGCTTCAGCTGTTTCGGTAAAGTGGGAACATAGGTGCCTACGGCGGACGATTGAAGCCAAACGGCCAATTGAAATTTCAACTCCGCAGCTGCTCAAGGCGGAGCCATTACCTCCACAGAATGAAGAAGTTTCGACAGTAATTATTGATTATTCTACTATTCAGAGGGTTCTATATATCACGTTACTTGTACGCTTGATTTGGCCCTGGATATGGCCCTGGATGGCCCTAAATTTGGCCCTGGATATGGCCTTGCTAGACATGGCTCTGGATGTGGCTGTGGCCCTACAAGATTTGGCCCTGAATATAGCCCTAAATATAGCCTAAAGCCTTGAATTTGGCCTTAGATATAGCCCCAAATTAATGTTGAATTAACAATATCTAGAATTATGTCTGATAGGGCTATATCAAACGTACAGTAAGCAGCATAACGTACGAAATCCTATAGATAGCTATCTTTAATAGCCCTAATTACTACAGATAACAAATTAGCAACAACAGACTCAGATTCCGCCTTATTATGTGGAGATAATGACTCCCTTTGAGCAGCTGCGGAGTTGAAATTTCAATTGGCCGTTTGGCTTCAACCGTCCGCCGTAGGTACCCTGGTTCTGTGGAGGTATGGACCGGACCGGAACGGAACGTCTCTCCTGGCCCGGGTGGGCCACCCAGCTGGGGCATTGTGCTAAGCGCTAACTGCTAGCTGTGCATCAGGATCTGTATTTGAAATTGAGATGTTCTTTTCCATACCTGGGTTTCCCTTGATGGCTCAGGAGAGTCCAGGGTTTGGTTGTCCTGCAGACTCGGTTGGAAGGTGGGAAGGTGTATTGGGATGTCAAGTTGACTGAACTGAACTCGATCGTGGTGTTTGATTACATTATTGACATGAACTGCAAAGCTGTTTAATTTGCGTATGGCTTTCTAATTCGCAACTGGTGGCTGATTTTGGTTTTGAGAAACAATCCTGTGCTGGATGCTGATTAGAAATGATTGTCAGCCGTGTTAGAGTGTCGGGAGCTAGAAGATGAAGAACCACAGCGTTATTGTTCCTCGTTCCATCGCCGGGGTTTGCCTCTTCTTTCAGGGTCACGAAAGTCCTCGATTATTCCCTCAGCAGTTCTCAAAAATCCACATCATAGGTCGCGTTTAATCCTCCATCATCAAAGCCATCTCCGTGGACCAAATTTGCCGTCTTCTTTTTATGAGGTCTTCAATCGAGACTTGATCGAACTCCAGCATGGATTGATGATATTGGTCGTTGGATCGCCAACCTTTGGTTGTCAAATTGCTGACTTATGCTCCCACGCCCCAAGTGTCCCCACCGGGAGATTTTGTCCGGGGTTGAGGTATGTAGGACAGTCCGCATTAGAGCGCGAATAGAATGGCTTGGACTGGCGAACTATATGCCTAACACTGGCCGTCACTTCTAAACGATAGGCAGCCTGTTCGGTAGCATTTGAACCGTCCCATCCGGGTCCATATCCTTCAAAATGCGTGATAAATAAGCGTTCCCATCCCCACTCTGTAAAGCAGCTTAACTCCCGTAGGCTTTGTGAGACAGGTGATAGTCTGGTAAAGGAATGCAAGTACGCGAAGCATTATGATCCAAGACGGTCCAGGCGCTACGGGAGATATTTGAGATATTTGAGCCCCCTGCAAGTGGGGCCGAAGCTTGGCGCCAAAATTTACGGGAGTTCTCAGATTCCTGCTATGCTACACACCCCTTTAATAGGGGATAGGACGCCCATTTCGCTCATTTAGGGCAGCTACTCTATCTGGCATTGTTGAGATAGCCCTATTAATCTCATCCAGAGTTATTTTATCCCACTCCTCCTGGATAGCCCTGCGCAGAACAGCTTCTTCGAAGATGACCCCCCTGGACCTCAAGCGCTGCTTTATTATTCTCCAGATCGTCTCAATAGGGTTGAGATCAGGCGAATTAGGAGGGTTCATCTCCCATTTGATCCCTAGTAGGTCCTTGAGTGCTTTAACCTTGTTAGGACCCTTGCCCTTAGTACCATGAGGCCCGTCATTATCTTCAATTAATATGGAATCTTTATCCCAATCAGGAGCAACGATTTCTTTCAAAATAG